AAGATTTAGTTATTTTATTAGGCAGATTTACAGAAAGAGAGGGAGAAACAGATCTCGTAAATGTTCGTGATGGCTGGGGCTGGCCAGGCTGAAATCAGGAGCCGGGAACTCCATCCGGGTCCCCCACATGGGTGGCAGGGGTTTAAATACTTGGGCCATCGTCACTGCTTTCCCGGGGTCATTAGCAGGGAGCTGGGTTGGAAGCGGAGCAGCGGGGACTGGAACCAGCACTCACATGGGATGCCAGTGTTGCAAGCAGCAGCTTACCCTGCACCACGTTGCTGGCCCCATCCATGAAGTTTGGAATCCATGCGTGCAGGGGATGGTCAAAAGTTCATGCAAAAGGCATGTTGTAAAAAACTATGCATGTTTCAGCTTTTTCATGCCAAAATAAACTTATCTTTTAATTCCATGTTCCATTAACATAAAAAAAAGATTTATTTATTTATTTGAAAGGCAGAGTTGCAGAGAGGCAGAGACAGAGAGAGCGCTCTTCCATCTGCTGGTTCACTCCCCAAATGGCTGCAATGCCCAGAGCTGGGCCGATCCGAAGCGAGGAGCTTCTTCCGAGTCTCCCACACGGGTGCAGGGGCCCAAGCACTAGGGTCATCTTCCGCTGCTTTCCTAGGCTGTAGCAGAGAGCTGGATCGGCACTGGTGTCCACGTGGGATGCCGACACTGCAGGCGGCACTTTGCTCGCCGTGCCACAACGCCATCCCCTGATCTGCATCTCGCACTCGTCCGGCACAGTAACACCGAGGGAACAGCCCAGGGTGGTGCAGTAACTGAGGTCACACTTCCCGTGCGTGACGGAGCCGCCTTCTGCAGGTTGTCTCAGTCTGCTCCAAGCTGACCTCATGAAGTAGCCGATTCCGGGTTGTTCACAAGGAACAGAAACTTTGGAGCTGGGGGGCTGAGCTGTCCTGTGAGTGCCGCCCTCGGCTCCACCGGTGGCAATTGGTTGCCACAACCTCGGAGTGAGGAACAGTGAAGGCGGAGGAGCAGGAGGGCTGGCGGCCGCGTGGCGCTCTTTCCTAAGGGCCTGGGTTCCGTTCATGAAGGAGGAGCCCTCGTGGCCCAAGCACCTGTTCAAGGCCCCGCCTCCACGGAGCTTTCTAACACCTGACTTCTGGACGGGTCAAGTTCACACCGTGGCACAGATGGTCCAGGGCTAGGCACAGCGCTATGGACGCAGGCCGGGTGGCCCCTCCTAGACACTTGCCCCCTCCTCCTTCCACAGGTGCTGAAGTCCACGGGGGATGTGGCGGGCGGGCGAGCCCTGTATGAGGGCTATGCCGCCGTCACCGACGAGCCGCCCGAGTGCTTCCTCACCCTCAGGGACACGGTGCTGCTGCGCAAGGAGTCTCGGAAGCTCATTGTCCAGCCCAACACGCGCCTGGAAGGTACAGTGCTCAGCCCGTGCAGGGCCTTTGGGGGGCAGAAAGCAGGTCCCCGGGGGCTCAGGGAAGACTACCTGGGGTGCTGCTTCCCCGCCACAGCCCTCCTTGTGCCGGACATCAGGCCAAAGCCTTGAGTTCGCCACACACACGCACACGCACACGCACACACATACAGCCGTGCTGGGTCTCAGACAGCAGCCGGGCCTGGACCTGGACATTCAGGCCTGTCAGGCCCCCGCACAGGATCAGGTCGGGCGTTGTGCTGGGGTGTCAGCAGGCCGAGCAGAACCCTGGGGAGACGCTGACTCCGCAGCTCCCTCATCCCCCTTCCCTCCCAGGTGGCAAGTCCATTTCTGGGCGCCCTGACCCTGTCTGCGTGGTGCTCGGACCTCTTGTCCCTTCCATTTGCGGAGTGCACTGAGCTCACTCTCCTGTAACCCTTGAACAGGCTGTTCCCTTTGCTGGGCGCCGTCTTCCCCCAGATTGAGCCCTGCTGAGTGGCACGTCCCGGGAGATGCTGTCCCTGTGCAGCCCCTCGGTCCGTCTCTGCTGTGTCACCGAGTGTCGTTTTCTCTGCCCGCTCATCATGCTTGGCCGTTTCTGATCTGTCTCGTCTTGGTGACAGCACGGACCGCACACCGCAGCCCCTAGCTCAGGCCTGGCACGCGGCGGCTGCTCGGTGTCGGTCAAAGGACAGAAGGGCCGGGTTGCGTCGGCCCCACAGACAGTGTGTTGCTTGCTTTGCTACGTCCCGCCTGGCCTGTGTGAGCCACTGGGGGTCGGGAGGCGCCCGGGACCTAGGCCCTCTTCTCAAGTGTTTCACAGCCCATTAGGAATGGCAAGACGTGGAGATAAATAGTTGCACAAGCGAAACATTAATGAGAGCCCAAAGGTACAAACAGTGCTTGAACACTTGGAGCAGGGGTAGGGAACCCTTTCTCTGCCAAGGGCCATGTGGGTATTTACAACATCACCCTCAGGCCACACAGAATTCTCAACTTGAACATCAGCCTGCTATAGATTTACTGAACTTCACGTCCTGCCTCTAGTGGCCTTGGCAGGGTCAGACCACATGATTTCACCGGCCTCAGACGGCTCGCAGGCCGGACATTCCCCACCCCCGGGCTAGGGAGAACCATGGCTCAGAGAATCCAGGAATGTCCCAGGGAGGAGGTGGTGGTTAGAGCAGAGCTGGAGAATGGTTAGATTTCCAAAGGTGGGAGCCACGATAACGGCGGTGATGATGGCGACTTTGAAGACTCCCGTGCGCCGTGCATGGAGTAAAAAGTTTCTGTGGATTAACTGCCGACAACCCAGTGGGGCATGGTGTGTCCTCACGTTTCAGCTCAAAAACGAGACATTTGCCAGAGGTCCTACAGCTAGTGGGAGAGCCAGGGCTTGAACACGGGCCCCTGAACTCGGGCTGTGCTAGTCACTTTATGCCGCACGATGCCGGGAGCGGGGGCACTGCGAGAGGGGGCCGTTTCCCGTGAGACTTCGGTGGCTCCTTGGGACAGGCCCCCGTAGCAGTTGAGTCAGCGGGCTCAGAGAGAGTGCTGCTGGGGGAGCTGGCGTTTGCTGACCGCCCGCTGCTTGCGTTAGTGTCTGGAATCCCTACAGCTCCTTGCGAGGAGGGGGCCTGTCTGCCCCCCACTGTGCAGACGAAGGAACAGGGTTAGAATGATCCAGAGGGGTTCATCATTTGCTGCCTTCCTGGGCACATTAGCAGGGAGCTGGATTGGAAGCGGAGCAGCCAGACTTGAACCAGTGCTCCCGTAAGAGATGCCAGCACCCCAGGTATCGCCAGCCCCGGCAGCAATTCATTCAACTCCCCCCTGCCGCGAGGCCTGAATTAGGTAATTAGCCTAGACCACGGAGCCCGACGCTTGGCCCCAGTGCTCGGTAAGAGCTGGCTGCACCTGTGGTCGCGGTCATCCGTGGTCATCGTTCGAGGCTCCCCATCCAGGCCTTTCTCTGCTGTTGACCCCCGCCCTCTGCTCCCCCAGGCTCGGAAGTGCAACTCCTGGAGTACGAGGCCTCGGCCGCTGGCCTCATCCGCTCCTTCTGCGATCGCTTCCCAGAGGACGGGCCCGAGCTGGAGGAGGTCCTCACCCAGCTGGCCGCTGCCGACGCCCGGTTCTGGAAGGGCCCCAGCGCGGCCCCATCCGGCCAGGCGTGAGGAAGACGTGTGTTCCCTCCCCCACCCCATCAAAACCAGGCTGCAAGTGGCCTGCGCAGTTTGTGTGTGCTTGGGTGTCAGGGGCGGGGCAGGGCTCAGACCTCAGGTGCTACCTCGGCTGAGGGTGGGGACAGGACCAGGAAACGTCCTCCAGTGTGCACCTGCTCGCGTCTGCGCGCATCCAGCAGAGCGGGTGAAACGCGGCTCCTTCTCCCGTTTCCCAGCGCACGGGTCCGGATCCCACAGGTGGCGCGTTGGCAGAGCCGGGGCTCAAATCCAGTGCTCTCCAATGTGTGGCTTTTATAACCAGAAAAATAAATATTAGAACCCCCCCCCCCCCATCTTTGCAATGTGTGTGATTCTTCCTACTCGTTCCCAGCAAGGGTGGGAGCGGGAGGGCCATGGTCAGCCCGTGTTCCCCTCAGGACCCGGCCCCGTCCCGGTGTGGACACACAGCCCTGTTCCCAGCAGGGGTGGGAGGGGAGGGCCATGGTCAGCCCGTGTTCCCCTCAGGACCCGGCCCCGTCCCGGTGTGGACACACAGCCCTGTTCCCAGCAGGGGTGGGAGGGGAGGGCCATGGTCAGCCCGTGTTCCCCTCAGGACCCGGCCCCGTCCCGGTGTGGACACACAGCCCTGTTCCCAGCAGAGGGGTGGGAGTGGGAGGGCCATGGTCAGCCCGTGCTCCCCTCAGGACCCGGGCCCGTCCCGGTGTGGACACACAGCCCTGTTCCCAGCAGGGGTGGGAGTGGGAGGGCCATGGTCAGCCCGTGTTCCCCTCAGGACCCGGGCCCGTCCCCGTGTGGACACACAGCCCTGTTCCCAGCAGGGGTGGGAGTGGGAGGGCCATGGTCAGCCCGTGTTCCCCTCAGGACCCGGCCCCGTCCCCGTGTGGACACACAGCCCTGTTCCCAGCAGAGGGGTGGGAGTGGGAGGGCCATGGTCAGCCCGTGTTCCCCTCAGGACCCGGCCCCGTCCCGGTGTGGACACACAGCCCTCCTCTGTGGCTTTCCCCGCACTTGGAAAGGTTCTGCCCGTCTGAAGTGGGAAGCCGTCCACGTCATTCAGAACCCTCCGCACTGCCCTGCCACTTGCAGGGAACAAGGCACAAAGGTTCAGCCCGGGCCTCCAAGGCAGCTATAAAGGACGAGGCCCCCTTTGACCCGGTTAACCATCCTGGAGAAGACAGGAGTTCGCTTCACTGCTCTGAACGCTCGGATCCAGGCCTGCAAGCCAGAAGGCGCTGTCTCGGCCCCAGAGATCACTCAGGGTCCAGAGGCCTGGAATCGGGGGACTGGGCTTGGGCAGGATGACCCCAACCGGGAGCCCCGCATCCTGCACCTGGGGGCCCCTCCGGCTCGGCGCAGACAGCTTCGCCCGCGGAACCTTTGTTCGCGCGCGCTTTCCAGAGCCCGGGCGCGATTGGGCGTTGCGCCGCGGCGGCGACGACGGCGGGGCCGGTTGCCATGACGACGCCTGCGACGATGGCTGCTGCCGCTTCATCCGATTCCGACCGCGGCCGAGTTGAGAGGTGAAGGCCGGGTGTGTTGGGGCGGGGGGATCTTCAAGTCCTGCTTTCCCATGGATGTAAAGGGAGGGGGGCGCTGCGCTGGGCCTTCGGAGATCCGGTAGAGGAACCGAGGCCCAGGAAGTGCGCGTGGGTGTCCGACTCGGGGTCCCTCGGCGCGCCAGGGGCGGCGCCCGAACTTGGACCCAGACGTTGTGTGCCGCCCGCCCCCAGCCCCTGCACAGCTCACCCTCAGAAACAAGCCCCCTTCACCGTTTTCTTTTCCTCCCCTGGAACCCGCCCCCCAACTCTGCGCCCAGTGCCAGCACTGAAGCCAGTTCGAAATGGCTGGACGCGCACTACGACCCCACGGCCAACATCCACACCTTCTCGGCCTGCCTGGGTGAGTCTCGGGAGCCCGGGGCTGTGAGAGAGGGGGAAGCCCCACAGTGGCCCTGGAATGAAGCCCCTGGCGGTCTGGGCTGAGGTCGTGGCCCTTTCGTGTTTTCCAGCGCTGGCGGATCTGCATGGGGACGGGGAGTACAAGGTGAGTGCGTCCACCGCCCCGGCCGAAGGAGCGGGGGCAGAGCCGCTGAGGGCCCCAGAGCCCCTCGGCGTGATCCGGAGCCCTCGTGGACCGAGAAGGAGCGCCCTGAGGGCCCTGTCTGTACTTTTATGTGGAGTGAGTGAGGAGAACTGCTGGTTTCACGAAGAGCAGAGTGGTCCCCCGCTTGGGATTCTGCCACAGCAGAGCCTCTTGGCTTGGTGAACGCGAGGGCACTGAAAGGGCGGATTCGTGCGGGAGGCGGGGCTTAGAATGCAGGGAAAGGCAGAGGGGAGGAGTCAGAGGTGTTTTTTTTTTTTTTTTTAAGATTTATTTATTTATTTGAAAGTCAGTTACACAGAGAGAGAAGGAGAGGCAGAGAGAGAGAGGTCTTCCATCCGCTGGTTCACTCCCCAGATGGCCACAGTGTCTGGAGCTGCACCAATCCGAAGCCTGGAGCCAGAAGCGTTTTCCAGGTCTCTCACGTGGGTGCGGGGGCCTAAGGACTTGGGTCATTTTCCACTGCTTTCCCAGGCCATTAGCAGAGAGCTGGATCAGAAGTGGAACAGCCGGGACTCGAACTGGCACCCTTATGGGATGCTGGCACTGCAGGCGGCGGCTTTACCTGCTATGCCACAGCACTGGTCCCAGGAATCAGGGTTTTATGTTTGTCCAAAGAGCGTGGAGTTTTAAGGTTGGCATTAGCTGAGAAGTGTTGGACGTGGCTGATGAGGGTATGGGGCTTCCCTTATATGAGGCCATTCTACTTCCGTATATGCTTGAAATGTTTCTATAATAAAAGGTTGCATTTTAAGCAACTTTAAAGATAAAATGTAAGCAAAGAGTTAAAAAGTTAGAAGTCAGTATTTTCCGAGGTTAAGGAATATATCAGGCTAAAAAGAAAGAAAGGAAGTTAAAACGTGTTTGGTACCCATTTCTGGGTTAAGTGCCGGGCAGGGCACATTGCGCCACACAGATGGTGTTTACTCCCATTCTGCTAAAGGGAAGATGGTTTTGGAGAGGCCGGGTAAGCTTGCTGGCGTTTGAGTGGCAGACCGGAAGCCGTCCAATTCCGAGTCATGTTTTTCTCCACCATAGCTCAGCCATCATCGTGGGCGGCAGTCCCACAGTGGATGGTGTGTGGGCAGCTGGACCAGAGCCCTGGAATCGCACCTCGCGTGGATGGTGCAGTAGGACTCTGGTTTCGCCTCCCGATTCCTATCAGCGGTTTGACCGTGAGCAGGGAGAAGCGTGTAGTCGGGCCCCGTGTACGGGCGTGGAGGAGACGGAACCGAGAGCTGACTCAGCACACAGTCGCAGGAGATGCCGGCCCTGCTGCCGGTGCAGCCCGGCTGGGGAAGGTGCCGAAGAGGCCAGCGGTGCTGGGCACTGGGCTTACAGCGAAGACAGCAGTATGGGGGCACCAGTGTGAGAGCGACGAATTCAGACAGTGCCAGGGGACAGCGACGTGACCGCGTGCTGCAGGATGAGTGACGTCCGTCAAGAAGGCTGGGAAGAGAGGATAGGGAAGACGTTGCAGGTAGAGGAAGCTGCGCAGGAGAGACTTCGTAGCGTTTTTGGAAAGAGTAAATTTAAAGTTAGAAAGCTGAGGCTGGGGCTGGCACGGTAGAGCGGGTAAAGCTGCCACCTGCAATGCCAGCATCCCGTGTGGACGCCAGTTCAAATCCTGGCTGCTCCACTTCCAATCCAGTTCCCTGCTAGTGCGCCTGGAAAGCAGCAGAAGCTGGCCCAGTGCTCGAGCCCCGGCACCCGCGTGGGAGACTCGGAAGAAGCCGCTGGCTCCTGGCTTCAGTCTGGCCCAGCCCAGGCCATTCAGCCGTTTGGGAAGTGAACCGGCAGGTGGAAGTTCTTTCTCCCTCTCTCCATCTGTAACTCTGCCTTTCAAGTAAATAAAATCTTAAAAAGAGAAAGAAAAAGTTGAGGCCAGTATAACACAATAATCCATTGGCTCTGGATTCAGGCGGGTCTACACTGCAGTCCCAGTTCTACCACTTAACAACTCTGACTTTACTCAGTGTCTCTAACACACAGCTCGTGCATTGGAAAATGGAGCTCACAGTACCCACCTGCAAGGTGGCCGGGAGGGGTCAGTGAAAGGACGCAGTTTCTGGCGTGGTCCCTGGCACCCAGGGCATCCTCACTCGGGCGCTCGGGCAGTCCGTTCTGGTCGGAGCATAGCAGCGCTGAGGTGTGGGAGAGGAGTTTAGAACCAGATCAGACAGGTCTGCAGGCCTCGCTCGGGAAATGGGCTTCGTGACAGCAGCTTGGAGAGTGGACTAAAGGCCGGGAAACCCAGGGGCCGAGGAGCCGGGTTCTCTCTCTGGGTCCACAGAACACATCTTGCCGTGCTGTTGGAAGCCCAGATACAGACGTCCTCATCCCCGCCGCTCCCAAAACACACAGCCCCGTGTTAGGGCCGTGCCTGGCATGGAGCAGGCGCGGGAGAAGTGTTGGCTGAGCGAATAATAGAAGTATCAGCTGCTGCCGACTCCGGCACACACTGGGCTCCGTGGTTCTTCATCGCATTTGATTTTCGCCGAAGCAGTCCTGAGGTCGGTGTTCCCATTCTGCAGGCAGGAGGATCGAAGCTCAGGAAGGGTAATCAGCTTAGCTGACTGAGCTGGTGAGCCTGCTGGCAGAGCGAGCTGGGAGTGAGCCCCTCTCTCTCCGCAGCTGGTGGTGGGGGACCTCGGCCCCGGCGCGCGGCAGCCCCGCCTGAAGGTGCTCAAAGGGCCTGCAGTGCTGACGGAGAGCCCGCTGCCTGCCCTGCCAGCCGCCGCCGCCACCTTCCTCATGGAGCAGCACGAGCCCCGGGCGCCAGCCCTGGCCCTCGCTTCGGGCCCTTGCGTCTACGTGTATAAGAACCTCAGGCCCTACTTCAAGTTCAGCCTGCCCCCGTTGCCTCTAAACCCCGTGGAACAAGATCTCTGGAGTCAAGCCAAGGAGGTAAGGGACATGGGGAGGGCGAAGATGGTAGCCACTGGAGGAGGCCTGGGCTCCCGGGGGAAGGCGTGCCTGGTGGGCTGGAGGCGGGAGGGCCACTGCTGACCCGCGGTGACGCCACGCTCGGCCCCTGAGTGGCAGCTCCCCGAGGGGCACTCGGCCAGGCCCTTTGGAGAGCAGAGCCCAGAGACTCCCTCTGCACTAGCCTCGCCCCTGCCCACCTTTGAGAGACCAGAGAAGGGGGAGGACTGGAAGGGTGAGAGCCAGGGGCCTGGGAGCCTTCCCGCAGAGGACGGTGCGCACGTGCGTGCCCTGAGGCTGGATTCCGACCCAGGGCTTGAACTTGAGCAGGAAGTGTGGGTGTCCCCCGCGGCCCTGGAGCTCAGAGGCTCTCCCTTCTTCCTGCTGTCACAGGACCAGATTGACCCCTTGACCCTGAAGGAGATGCTGGAGGGCATCCGGTGAGAGCCCACCTGCCCCGCGTCCCCCTCCCCCTCCCCGCTCCTTCGTCCCAGAGCTGCCAGTCCGACCCCAGGGCCCCCGCTCCCCCACTGATCTCTCGCTGGCCACTTCCCTGCAGGGAGAAAGCAGAGGTGCCTCTGTCTGTGCAGTCACTCAGGTGAGGGTCCTGGGAGGGCTGGTGCTCCGGGTGGGGTGTGGGGCGGCCAGGCCGGGGCATGGGGTCAGCTGTCTGTGTGCCCAGGTTTCTGCAGCTGGAGCTGAGCGAGATGGGAGCATTCGTGAACCAGCACAAGTCCAAGACCATCAGACGGCAGGTAATGCCCTCTCTCTGTTTCATTTCCCTGTGAGAAACAGGGACCACGTGATGTCGGTGGTCAGCTACAGCCAGTCCTGCCCCATTTCACTTTGCAGTTTTCCTTGCAAATAGCCACAGGCCACAGCGCCTCCTGTGACAACTCCTAAAATGTAGACACAGAGCATCATAGACTTGTGTGTGACTTCTGTTTTCTTGAGGGTCAAAGAAACACATTTTGGGCTGGCGCCACGGCTCACTAGGCTAATCCTCCGCCTGCGGCGCTGGCATCCTGGGTTCTAGTCCCGGTCAGGGTGCCGGATTCTGTCCCGGTTGCTCCTCTTCCAGGCCAGCTCTCTGCTGTGGCCAGGGAGTGCAGTGGAGGATGGCCCAAGTGCTTGGGCCCTGCACCCCATGGGAGACCAGGAGAAGCACCTGGCTCCTGGCTTCGGATTGGCGCAGCGAGCTGGCCGTAGTGGCCATTTGGGGGCTGAACCAACGGAAGGAAGACCTTTCTCTCTCTAACTGTGTCAAAAAAAAAAAAAAAAAAGTACATTTTTCTTATGGAGAACTTGGAAAATCAAGATGAGCATGGAAGAGAGAAAAGCGACACCGTGACCTCACCCAGAGACACCCGCTCTGACTTCTTTGCGGTGCCTTTCCTTCATAACATGCTTTCTATAGGCTTCTCTTGAGTGTGGAACTTTATATTCTGAGTGTTAAATAGCCTTTTACACCTTCCTTTTTAGTGCCCCTTGACTATTTAATTAATTGTTCATTCTGTCGTTCACAGTTTACATAACCATTCACATCCAGGTCCTTAGACAGGCGATGGGTTACATTTATGTCACGTTTCTGGGCTATAATTTTAGTCACTGTTTGGATGAGCTCATGCATTAGTGAGCTGTAGAGGCTTCCATCCAGGGGAGTTGACTCCCAGAGCTGTTCTACTATTGATTGATAGGTTGACTGATTGATTGAAAGGCAGAATGACAGAATGAGAGAGAAACACAGAGAGAGCAAGATTGATCTTGGATCTGCTGGTTCACTCCCCAGATGACTGCAACAGCCAGGGCTGAGCCAGGACAAAACCAGGAGCCTGGAGCTCCATCCAGGTCTCCCACATGCGTGGCAGGGGTCCAAGTACTTGGTCCATTTGTCCTTTTACTTTTTTATAAAAAAATTATTTATTTATATGGAAGGCAGAGTTAGAGGCAAAGAGAGAGAGGTCGGTCTTCCGTCTGCTGGTTCACTCCCCAGATGGCTGCATTTGAAGCCAGGAGCCAGGAGCTTCTTCCAGGTCTCCCACGTGGGTGCAGGGGCTCAAGCACTTGGGCCATCTTCTACTGCTTTCCCAGGCCATAGCAGGGAGCTGGATGGGAAGTAGAGCAGCCGGGACTCGAAGTGGCGCCCATCTGGGATGCTAGCACTGCCGGCGGCGGCTTTACCCGCTACGCCACAGCACTGCCCCCCCCCCCACTGTTAGAAGAGGAATATGTCCCCACTGTAGCAGCTGTAGAAAAGAAGCACTGTGAGGAATTAATTAAACATCCCCAGTGATCCCCTTGTCCAGAGGTAACCGCTGGCATTGTTCATTCCTAAGTTTTTTAAGCTGGGATTATACTAACTATTTTTTTCTTTATACATTATTGATCAACTTTTTGTTATTTTAACTAAAATACCTGGGAGAAGCCACTTAGGAAGGCAGGTTTATTTCAGGTTGTGGTTAGGAGGCGCACAGTCCAAGAGCTCGTGGCCCTGTTGGCTGAGACATTTGGTGAGGCCAGAGGGTGGCGTGGGCACGTGGCGAGCTGGGAAGCAGAGAGGGGCAGGGAGCCCCGCGTGGTCCCCGCCATGCCGTCAAGATCGATCGTGGCCCCCAGCCAGCAGTCTGGGCTAATCCAGTCACGACCTGATTTCAGATGTTGTAATTGGATCAAGCCTCCAGCTTTAATCTACCACCCATTAACATGAGACTTTGGGGGTTCAGCTGCCTGCAGGAGTTTGGGGAGTCAAATCCTGTTCAAACCACAGCACTAAGCTAGAAGTGTTCCCCATATACTGAATGTTCTATAAAAACGTGCTTTGTGTATTCACTAATTTTTACAGGTTTATTTATTTATTTGAAAGGCAGAGATAAGGAGAGGGAGAGGGAAAGGGAGAGGGAGAAAGTGAGAGAGAGAGAGTGTTATCGTCCATTCACTGGGTCACTGCCAAATGGCTGCAATGGCCAGGGCTAGGCCAGGCCAAAGGCAGGAGCCAGGAGCCGGGAGCCGCTTCTGGGTCTCCCACGCGGGGGCAGGGGCCCAAGGACTTGGGCCATCCTCTGCTGCTTCTCCAGGTGCATTATTAGCAGGGAGCTGGATCAGAAGTGGAGCAGCCGGGACTTGAACCAGCGCCCATATGGGAAGCCTGGCACTGCAGACAGAGGCCTAGCCTTCTACACCACAGCGCCGGCCCCAAAAATGTGGTTTATTTTTAATGACTGCATGTAACTGACTTCCACAACCATCTGTTGTTAGGAAGTTAGGTTTGTGACTGTAAACACCTTGGGACCTAAGTATTCTGTCCCATTGCTGACACTTCCTCTAGTATTATTCTGTCCTATCGCTGACACTTCCTCTTCCTCCTCCTCCTCCTCCTCCTCCTCCTCCTCCACCCTTTGTTGTGCCCATGGCATCCCGGGAGCGTGTGGGGAGGGGGTGTCGTGTGTGGGTTCTCTGGATGACCCCTGGAGTCCTCCTGCAGACGGTCATCACCACCATGACCACCTTGAAGAAGAACCTGGCTGATGAGGACGCCGTGTCCTGCCTGGTGCTGGGCACGGAGAGCAAGGAGCTCCTGGTGCTGGACCCCGAGGCCTTCACCATCTTGGCCAAGGTCAGTGCTGGGTCTGGCTCTGGGCGCAGGCTGCATTCTTCTGTGTGCTCTGCAGTTAGTGCTGGGTAATGTGTTCATTGCAGGGAGGAAAAAGTAAACCCTAGGTAAGCATAAAGAAAATAAATGTACCCCGGAATCCCACCTCCCAGATATCCGCTGCTACACTTTTGGCACGTCTGTCTGCCTGGGCGCTCGCATACAGACAGAGACAGAGAACAGTGTTTGTTCATCTACACAGAAGCTGGTGCACGAGCTCTGCTCTCTCCACCTGGCAGCACGGCATCGCAGTCTGTGCACGCCAGCCCTCCTGAAGGCCGCCGCCATGGCTTCTGTAGGTGTGCTGTGGTTTACTGCCCGTCGCCCGTCTTCTCACGGTGACCACCACAGCAGGAGGCTGGTGTGCTCACACCCTCGCACCCGTTATCCGGGCTTCCTCGGGGTGCGGCCTTGGAGGCGCCGGAGTCCAGGCACAGCTGTGGCCTCAAAGGCTCTTGTTGCTGGCCGTTTCCCTCAGCCACATTGTGCAGGTTCAGACCGGGACCCCCAGCGTGTCAGTGCGGAGAGGGGACTTTGACAGGAACCAACTCAGAGGAGCTGCTGCGGGGCAGGAGAGCCGGGGCCCAGACGATGGGAGTGTTTGAGCCTCTCCTTTGCAGATGAGCCTCCCCAGCGTGCCCGTCTTCCTGGAGGTGTCCGGCCAGTTTGACGTCGAGTTCCGGCTTGCCGCTGCCTGCCGCGACGGAAACATCTATATCCTGAGAAGGTAGCCCCAGCCCAAAGGAGATGATAGAAACCTGGTGGTCTCTGGGGGCTTGCAAGATGCGCACGAGGTCTGGGACTGGAGTTTGGGGGTGAGAAGAGCTGATGGGGCTGAGCCCAGCAGCAGGGGGGTGTCTGGAGGCCCACGAGGCAGGCTGTCAGAGGGCGGGGGCGGGGCGGGAGGCTGTGACGCGAGCCGTGCGGTCTGGTGAGTCTCCTGCATCCCCTGTATCTCTCTGAGTGCACACGACACTACCTTGTGCGTTAGTTTAACGTTCCATACAATGCTCATCTTTCAATTCAAGAAGCGTTTACTGAGTACCCGCTGTGCGTCAGCGCTGTGAAGGTGCTGGGAGTGTGCCTGCGGGCAGGACGCCGTGAAGACGGAGCTTGTCCTCCTGGGGAAGATGGGTGTCAAAGTCGGCAAACCCAGGCGTTCCTGCGGCGTGGGTGGGAGCTGGGGAAGAAACGTGCAGAGGCAGTGGGGGAATCAGGGCGAGGGCGACTGGGAGCACCGGCCGTGGCGGTGACTTGAAGGTTAAGCAGGGCCAGGGACTCAGAAAGTGGGGGCAGCCTCAGGTGGAAGACATGGACGTGTGTCCCCTGGATGTGTCTCCTGGGCTGGGCGGGCAGTGACGAGGAGGGAGCAGGGCTGGCTCCCGCGGGACCAGAGGACACGGTGAAGTTCCTGGATCTTGCCTGAGGCGCAGCAGAGAGCCGTTATGGGGTTTAAATCCGAAGAATGACGTGTCTGCTGAGGTTGTAAAACGATTCCTGTGTGCATAGAGGCCGCATTGGCAGGAGGCCCAGAGCCGGGGGCGAGGGGCTCAAGGTCATCCGATGGGACTTTGGTTGGCCCCGGCCGGGCGAGAGGGCAGCGCGCTGTCGCCTGTGGTTGGGAGGCAGGAGTTGCTCCCACTTCCTGGGTAAGGGAAACCAAGGAGGAGAGGCCGGGAGCCGGAAGAGGACACGCACGCAGGGCCGCCCTCCTGCTGCTCTGATAAGTCAGACCGCCTCCCGCTCCGGCGCTGGCTGGACCGTGTGAGGAAGCTCACGGAAACCTCCAGTGCCAGGTCTCAGATCCACATAAGGGCAGGAGGGGAAGCAGCTGGGGCCAGGGGCCCGCCCAGGTCAGCCCGGGGGCGTAGCCCAGGAGGGGAGGAGGGTTTCTCCCAGACGGGACAGTGTGCTTTGCTTCCACAGAGACTCCAAGCGCCCCAGGTACTGCATCGAGCTGAGCGCCCAGCCCGTGGGCCTTGTGCGAGTTCACAAAGTTTTCGTGGTGGGCACCACCCAAGACAGCCTGAACGGCTTCACCCACAAAGTACGGCCTCGGGCGAGCACTGGCACCTCTCCCACCCCTACCCTGGCGACCGCAGCCGCCCCTTCCTTCCACACTTGTAGCCGCGGACTGCTAGCCCCTCCCACTGAGACGCTGGTGTTCCCTGCCAGGGTAAGAGGCTGTGGACGGTGCAGATGCCCGCAGCCATCCTGACCATGAACCTCCTGGAGCAGCGTTCCCGGGGCCTGCAGGCCGTCATGGCCGGGCTGGCCAACGGCGAGGTCCGCATCTACCGTGACAAGGCCCTGCTCAATGTCATCCGTGCCCCGGTGAGCCCGCCTCCGCACCCGCCACTGGCTGCTCCTCGCCCCCAGCCCACCTTGGCACTTCTTGGCTGCTGCTTCCAGCCCACAGTCGTGCATTTCAACACATCTTTTGAGCACCTCATGTGTACATGTCAGTGTGTGGACATGGATAAAAGAATAATTTAGTCCTTGTTTTCAAGGAGTTAACGACCTGAGGTGAGAGCCAGAGACACAGCAGATCAAAGCGCAAGGCGGACAGGCCGGCCACGTGCTGGCAAAGCAGTGACAGGAAAGGAGAGGGAGAAAGGGGACTGGGACTCAGGACACATGACAGCATGTGACAGTGCAGCCGGCCACGTGCAAGAGCGTTGAGACAGGCAGCAGCCTGCGAAAGGCTGGGAGGCGTGGCGTTTCGTGATGTAAGAATCCAGGTAGTTTGATGAGTTTGGACCAGAGTGTGTGTGTGTGTGTGTGTGTGTTGTGTGTGTTTTTAAGATTAATGTATTTATTTGAAAGTCGAAGTTACACGGGGTGGGGGGGGGGTCTTCCATCCGCTGGTTCACTCCCCAATCGGCCACAACGGCTGGAGCTGCGCCGATCCGAAGCCAGGAGCCAGGAATCCTCTTCCGGGTCTCCCACACGGGTGCATCTTCTACTGCTTTCCCAGGCCATAGCAGAGAGCTGGATGGGAAGTGGAGCAGCCGGGACGGGAACTGGCACCCATATGGGATGCCAGTGCCTCAGACCAGGGCGTTAACCCACTGCGCCACAGCACCGGCCCTGGACCAGAGTTTTTTAACTCTGGATCACAACCACAATATTAAAAAAAAAAAGAGAGAAAATTTGGAGTATCTCGCATATGAAATTGTGTTGTGTGTGTGTGTGTGTGTTTAAATGGAAATTGTCCCATGGCACAGTGTAAAATTTAAGAGCAGCTGAAAGGCCCAGAGCACTGGGCAGGCAGCGGATGGGAGAGCAGGGAGAAGGGTGAAGGGAAGACTGATGGAACAGACGCGTGGATTCGGATGTGTGGGCCTGAAACGTCCTGACGAGGAGATAAATCTGCCGGCTTGTTTTGTTTTAGCAAAGAGTAAACATGTGAGGGTCCTTCCAAAAGTTCATGGAAAATGAAATTCAGAGAGATGGGTTTAGGGACAGGTGTTTGGCACAGCGGTGAGGCCGCTGCCCGGGACGCTGGCATTCCGTACCAGAGGGCCTGGGTTCAGGTCCTGGCTCTGCCCATGTGCACCCTGGGAGGCAGCAAGTGATGGCTAAATGGTTGGGTTCCTGCCACCCACATGGGAGACCAGAATTAAGCTCCTGGCTTCAGCCCAGCCCTTCTGTGGCAGGCATTTGGGGGAAGTGAGCGGGAAGTGAGCCTGTGGATGGGGATTTCTTCTCAACTCTGTCTCCCCCCACCCCCCACCCCAAAAAAAGATGAGGTTATTTTGATGCAGAACAATTTTTTAATTCATGTGTATGTGCGGGGTCTTCAAAAAGTTCATGAAAAATGTATTTTATGAAAAAACCTATGCATGGAATTAAAAAAAATTTTGCACCAAAATAGCATCTTTTAATTCTATTTTCCGCAAACTTTTGGAAGTGCCCATGTGTTTGTGGTCCTGAGAGGCCGCGTTGTGAGGGACAACTTGGGAAGAAAGACTTGCACTAGGAAGATTCCACCGGGAGACCTGTGGGAGCCCAAGCCCAAAAGTGGGGCTGAGGGATGCTTTTCCCGGAAGCGTGGCTGGGCCGCAGGCTTGCAGAGGAGCCCTCGCGCCCATCCTGCTTCCCCTCCAAGACAAGTCCCCGGCTAAGCTCGGCTGTCTCCAACAGGATGCCGTGACCAGTCTTTGCTTTGGCCGCTACGGGCGGGAAGACAACACCCTCATCATGACCACTCGAGGTGAGGGGACAGGCCAGATCCTGGGGAGGGAGGGGGAGGGTGGAGCAGGGGTGGACCTAGCGTGGTAGGCAAGGCCTGTTTTTTTTTTTTTTTTTTTTTCCCACCTCCAGGCGGCTCTCAGCAGGTTGGTATCAACACCAGGGTCTCTGTGGTCCACCCCAGCATCCGGGCCCTGCGGCAATGCTGGAATGTCACAGGAGTCCATAAAAAGGCAGACAAATGCAGGAAGTGACGTCAGGAGGCCCCGCAGGCTCGCTCTTCCTTGCAGACGCATACAGGACGGCTCTGTGAGGCCGATTGTTTGGGAAGAAGAACGGGAGTGTGGGGCTGACTGGGGGGACGACTGCTTCCGCCTGTCCCCTCCCTAGGCGGCGGCCTGATGATCAAGATCCTCAAGCGCACAGCGGTGTTTGTGGAGGGGGCGGGGGAGGCAGGCCCCCCCCCGGCCCAGGCCACGAAGCTCAGCGTGCCCCGGAAGACCCGGCTCTACGTGGACCAGACACTGCGCGAGCGGGAGGCTGGCACCGGTGAGGCCCAGCCCCAGCACTCCCCTTCCTCCGCCGCCGCCCCTGGGCAGGAGGAACTGGACGAATGTCTCCCGGCGCCCTGAGCAGCAGGAGGCCTCGTGCCTTGAGCTGTGGTGGCACGCGCGGGTGGAGAGACCCACGAGGCTGTTAGGGGCAGGGGAGAGGCCTGGGCACCCACCCTGCTGCTGGAGACACAGCACGTGACATCGAGTGTGGCCCCATGCTCGGCCGGAGCTGAGCACGGAGCCCCCGCCCTCGGGCCTGCAGCGTTCCTCTCGGGTGGTCAGATCCAGGGCAGGACCTGGGTCGTTCAGGGGAAGAAGACGGTGGATCGGAAGATGACCAAGGCCAAGACCAGCTTTTACGGCCAAACAGAGCCAATGAAGGAGACAGATCTGTGGGCAGCGAGTGGTAGGAGGACCAGAGAGGAGGCGGGGCGTGGTCCCTGTGCCCAGTGTCACCAGAAGCCTGGGCCTTGCAGACCCCGCCCACCGCCCCCCCCTTTCTCAACCTTCGTGTCACCCCCTCAGCCATGCACCGGGCCTTCCAGACGGACCTCTACCTGCTGCGCCTCCGGGCGGCTCGCGCTTATGTGCAGGCCCTCGAGTCCAGCCTGAGCCCCGTGTCTGCCACAGCCCGGGAGCCGCTCAAGCTGCTTGCTGTGGTGAGCACCCACGGCGGGAGTCGGGGCCAGAGGCCAGAGGGCAGAGGGCAGAGGCCAGGCGGGTGAGCGCTCCCCAGCCACCCAGGTGAGCCCCTGTGGCCGGTGCCAAGCCTGTGTAGCGCGTGCTGCCTTTGCCCTTCCCGCCGACCAGGGACCGAGCCTCGTGTCCCCCTTGGGAGAGCTGCCCTCCCCGTCCCCCGCTCCTGGGCTGCCTTGTCCTGTGGCCACTGAGAGGGACACTCTGCAGTCCCTGCTCCATGCCGAGCCTCTGACAGCCCCCAGGCCTGGGCAGGGGGCACGTCACCTGGGGACGTCTCTCCCCGGAGCCCGTACAGCGGGGAAACTACTGCTCCTGCAACCACCGGAGCGCAGGCCGTCGGGACCGTGGGCAGGAAGAGGCCACTCCGACCTCTGCGCCCCAGGCATCCTGAGACGTCACAGGCAGGAGGGAGGAGGAGCCCCCACGCCCTCAGTCACAGGTGACCTCAGGGCAGCAGGGCTCCGGCCAGCTCTCGGGGAGCTGTCCACCCCAGCCAGCTTGTCCACGTCTCTTCCTCAGAAAGTGGATGGGTACAGCAGAGAAGGGGGTTCAGGGCCACCCACAGCTGAGGGAGAGGAACGAACAGGAGGGAGAGAGTGGAGGCCCCGGGAGAGCGGGCCGGGGCACAGGGGAAGGAGTCGGGGCCCGCAGTCCGGGCAGCCCTGCCCCTGCCTTGCCGCGTGGCCTCTGCTGAGCCCTGCACACCCTAGAGGCTTCAGCGTTTTGAGGGCTGGGTGGACAGTGTTTGGACAGTTGAGGAGAGTGGCTTGAGGGCCTCGATGAGGAAGCAGGCGAGGCCAGGGCCAAGGCCACTGGCTCTAAGGGCCTTCCCCCCCCCCCCCCCACAGGTCCAGGGCCTGGGCCCCACCTTTAAGCTCACGCTCCACCTGCAGAACACCTCGACAGCGCGACCCATCCTGGGGCTGCTGATCTGCTTCCTGTACGACGAGATGCTCTACGCCCTGCCCCGGGCCTTCTTCAAGGTATGGCCCCCTCTCCGCTGTGCAGTGCCGAGCCGGGCAGGCCCTTGCTGGAAGCCAAGGTGAGGGAGTGGGCGGGGCTGGTGAGTGGCTGCAGGCCGGCCAGCTACAGGCCAGGCCCCGCCTCCACTGCTGCCCTCCCAGACTGGGTCGCAGCTCCGCCTCTCCGAAGCCCGCTCACGTCCCGGCTCCGGCAGCGCAGGAGAGACTTGCCCAGGCGTGACCCTGTCTTGGTCTGTTTGTGGCTCTGGCTGAGTGCCTAAGACTGGAAAGCTAGAAAGCAGAGAATGTTGTTTCTTAACCTTGGTGAAGGAAGTCCAGGGTGGAGGGCCATGGCCGGCGAGGGCCTTCTTGTTGGAGAGCAAGCACTGGGGAGCCCTGGTGGGACACGGGGGTCACATGGCTTTGACAGCAGACTTAGCTGTGCTAACTAACCCACTGCCTGAATGGCGAGTTGATCCAGACACCATTTCCGCGTGACTCGCGGGCCTGATTCCACACGTGTGTCCCGGAGGACACACCTTCCCACCGCAGACCCCACGCTCAGAAAGACTCCAGAGTATGAAAGGAATAGCGTGAACTGTGGGTCCTGAGGATTAGACTTGGCACGGACTTGCCCTGGGGGCCCTGGAACATCGACTCCCCCCATGCCTGTGGCCTGTGACCGGCTGCGTCCCTGCCCACACCAGGGCGTGCAACACAGCTGGGACTGGGCGAGGTGCTTGGAGGCCGTCACTCTCCAGCCCTGAGAGTGGATTTTCTTACCCTTTGTTCCCAAACTCAGGTCCCCTTGCTGGTGCCAGGGCTCAGCTATCCCCTGGAGACCTTCGTGGAGAGCCTCAGTAGCAAGGGCATCTCAGACATCATCAAGGTGAGGGGCCCGGCGGTGCTGCCGGGGGTGGGCAGGACCCTGGGGAGGACCATCAGGGGGAGTGTGGATGAAGCCCCCACTGGCTCCGGGGTGTGGGGACCAAGGAGGAGAGGCCTCCCAGCCTGCCCTGTGGCCTGTCTTAGCGTGGTATAGACCAGCAGGCTTGGCCATCACAGGGAGCAGAGGCGGGCGTCCTAGGCGTGTGCCCCCGACATCCCTGTAGGTGCTGGTGCTTCGAGAAGGCCAGAGCACGCCGCTGCTGAGCGCCCACATCAACATGCCTGTGAGTGAGGGCCTGGTGGCCGCCTGAGCCCCAGATGGTGGTCGAGCCCGTGTGGAATCCGAGCCAGCCAGACCCAGCCACTGCCGCGGAGCCGGGCAGGTCCAGTAGCTCCAGGCCCACTCCCCACGCCACAGCGTGCTGCGCCCCTGCTCCCGGTCACAGCAGCTCTGTGTACCCAGGAAGCTCGGCTCATGTTCCTGCGGCCCTCCCAGGCTGTGTGTCCACGGGCGCCTGCTGCCTGGCCCTCCTGACCCTTCCAGAAACTGCGCCCAGGTGCCCAGGAGCAGCCTGAAGCGGTCACTGTGCGATCAGGAGCGGCCGGCCCTTCTTCGCCACTTTCCTCGGGCGCACCGACGGCCACGGCCGACGCTGGGGAGGGGTCTGGCCTGGGAGGTCGGAGGCTTTTCTAGGCTGAGACTGGGCCCCCTTGTCACTCGGGGTTCCCGAGGCAACGCACCTGCTCTGATCTCCCCGCCCCCGCTGAGCAGGATCCCTTCCCGGTCCCCATCAGAGGCCCCAGGGGTAGCTGCTGCCCAGGGCTGTTCTGCAGCTGGAGTCAGGCCTGTGAGGCTCCGCAGGCTGCCTGTGCCCGTGCAGGGGCCGCGACTGCACCCCGGGCTCCTGACCTGGGTGCCCATGCCCAGAAACAGCACCGAGGGAGAGGCAGGCCACGCTGGACAGAGCCACAGGGGCCAGGGCATCGGGGAGGGGTGCTGCTGGGGCCTGGAGGCGGCGCGTGGGCGGAGCCCGGGAGCCCGATCCCTCCTGCGGTGGAAGGTTCCCTGGGCAGCAGCCACGGTGAGCATTAGCTGCAAAGGCACAGCCCAGAGGAATCGGGTGAGGCTGAGGGTGGGATGAAGGCCTCTGTTTGGACCCAAAGGGCCAGAGACCCACGGTCCGAGCCCCTGGCCAGTCTGCGTGGTCCACGTCCCAGGCCGCCTGGGCCGCGTGGGAGCTGAGGACCTGTGTCTTCGCTCCGAGCAGGGGCGCCGGGAATGCGGCAGGAAGTAACCCGGTGTCTGTGGGCCCCGCTTCCCCACGTGTAAAGTGAGGCGGCTGGACCGGATTGATCTAAGCCCGCTTCGGCTCTGTGCCGGTGAGCTCGCAGCCCTGCCGGAGAGCGGGCGACTCCGGAAAGGCGACACCCGGCGGGGGGCAGGGAGGCGGACTCCACAGCTGCCACTGCCCGAGACCCAGGACTCGAGTGACAGCCCACGTCCCCCCATGCCCTGCTCAGCACAGATGGAAGGTAAAGGCCCGGCCTTCGGAGCCATGTGAGCAGGGGCGGGGCAGGTCGTGTGTGGAGCCGAAGGCCCTGCAGTCCCTTCGCCCCAGCCAAGCCGTGAACCCCGTGACCCGGACCCGTCTCTTCTGGGTTCTCATAGCTTTTCATACTGCGGAGGGGGAGACCGCGCCGGCACGCACAGTGGACTTCCAGGGTGTGCTGTGTGCCGTCATTCAGACGGGCGACTGCCCACGTTGGCAGGCCGATGCAGAACAGCACAGGCGCCCGGCGCGCGGGCCGTGAGCGCTCCAGGACGTTGTGCGCGCTGAGGATGAAGAGCAGTGGCCCCTTCTCTGAACAAGCCTCCGTTTGGTAATGAGCTAGCCAGCGCGCAGAGCAGCCCCCGCTCCTGCGTGGCAAACCCTGGCCTTGCTCGGAGGCCCTGTGGGCTAGGGGAGGGTCTCGCCTCCTGTGACTGCGCGCCCCCCCCCCCCCCCCGCCGTCTCCAGGGAATCCGCACTCACTGTCCGGGTTACGGTGTACTGTGGGGCTCGCTGCACAGCCAGAGCTGGGCTTGCAGTAAATCACCTTTCCCGCGGAGGGAGTAATCGCTTTGGTTTTTTCTGGCGCTTAGTTTCCCGGGGTGCCAGTGGCGGATCTCCCTCCCGCCCTGCACCCTGAGCACGTCGGCTCCCGGGAGATTTCGCTGGGCCCTGTGCCCAGGCCCCTCGCTCCGTTTAGTGAGATCTGTCCGAGGGTCCCACCTTTAGCTCAGTTGCTAGGGGTAAACACTTTGAAGACGCCGCCTGTCCTCTAGCCTCGGAAGTTCACGCCGGGCTGAGTGCTCACCTCCGGAGGAGCCCAGCCTCTGTAAGTGGTGATGCCAGAGAGGACGGGGTTGCGCCCGATTCTCCTCTCTCGTCTCTCTTCATCCCTGTCTCCTGGGGAGAGTTTGAACTGTCTTTCAGCTCTGTGGATTATTACAAAATTTTCAGCTATCATTTTAATTCTCAACTCTGTTTGGTCCTTACTTTCAGTATGTTTTTAAAGATATATTTCTTGTATCTCTCTCTCGCTCTTTTTTTTTTTTTTTTTTTTTTTTTTGACAGAGTTAGTGAGAGAGAGAGAGACAGAGAGAAAGGTCTTCCTTCCATTGGTTCACCCCCAATGGCCGCTGTGGCTGGCACACCGCGCTGATTCAAAGCCAGGAGCCAGGTGCTTCTCCTGGTCTCCCATGCAGGTGCAGGGCCCAAGCACTTGGGCCATCCTCCACTGCCTTCCCGGGCCACAGCAGAGAACTGGACTGGAAGAGGAGCAACTGGGACTAGAACCCGGTGCCCATATGGGATGCCGGCGCCACAGGCGGAGTGAGCCATGGCACCGGCCCCTCTTGTATCTCTTCTCAGATTATCTTTTATATTTTATCTCTGTTCTTAGTGTCAAGGTAAACTACAAATAAGCCGTTCCCTGCTTCCCTTCTTAGCTGAGACAGAGAAACTGCCTGGCCCCAGACTCAGTGCTTGGTGGGAGGTGGAAAACCCTCTGGTGAGAACGTTGAAACCACAAGGCCAGCCTGAATAAGGGTTTGCAGCCTGCACTGATAACACTGGTTGGCCCTGAAAAACTTCAAGGTGGTGAGGGGTTGCTTGCCATCAGGCATCTGGAGGGGTTTACTTCTAACCCAACCTCAAGAGTCCCCAGTGGCTGGCGCTGTGGCATAGCAGGTAAAGCTGCTGCCTGCGATGCCAGCGTCCCATTCAGGCTCAGTTCAGGGCCTGGCTCCACTCCTCCTCCTCCTCCTCCTCCTCCCCCTCCCCCTCCCCCTCCCCCTCCTCCCCCTCCTCCTCCTCCTTCTCCTTCTTTTTTAAGATTTATTCATTTATTTGAAAGGCAGAGTTACAGAGAGGCAGAGAGAGAAAGGAAGTAAATCTTCCTTCCCATGGTTCACTCCCCAGATGACTACAATGGCCGGAGTTGTGCCGATCTTAAGCCAGGAGCCAGGATTTTCTTCCAGGTCTCCCATGTGGGTGCAGGGGCCCAAGCACTTGGGACCATCTTCCACTGCTTTCCCAGGCCACAGCAGAGAGCTGGATCAGAAATGGAGCAGCCGGGACTCGAACCAGCATCCCATATGGACGCACTGCAAGCAGCAGCTTTACCCGCTATGCCATAGCGCCAGCCCCTGCTCCACTTCTGATCCAGCGCCCTGCTAATGTGCCTGGGAAGGCAGCGAAAGGTGGCCCAAGTGTTTGGGCTCCTGGATCCTGATTTTCGCCTGGCCCAGCCCTGGCCATTGCAGCCGTCTGGGGACTGAACCAGTGGATGAAAGATATCTCTGTCTCTCCCATTCTCTCTGTAATTCTGACTTCCAAGTAAATAAAGACTTTTTAAAAAAAAAAAAAAAAAAGGATCCCCACTGATAAAATTCCAAGGAACTCAGTCAAAACAGACAGTGGCAAGAAAATGAGGCCTCACAATCAAGAACCTAGGAGTCAGATCCTCAGATCCTGGAGCTACCAAACAGAATACGGACTATGCTTTCAGTATAAATTAAAATAAATAAATAAATAAACAAGAAACCTAGTATCTGAGTAGAGAGCAAGCAAGTATATAAAACGGTGAAGCCAGGGGCTGGCGCGTGGCACAGCGGGTAAAGCCACTGCCTGAAGCACGGCATCCCACGTAGGTGCTGGTTTGATAACCAGTGTTTGACCTCCGACCCAGCTCTCTGCTGTGGCCTGGGAAGGCAGTGGAAGGTGGTCCCAAGTGCTTGCACCCCTGCACCCACGGGGGAGACCTGGAAGAAGCTCCTGGCTCCTGGCTTCAGATTAGCTCAGCTCGGGCTGTTGCAGCCATTTGGGGAGTGAACCAGTGGAGGGAAGACCTCTCTGTCTGCCGCTGCCTCTGTAACTCTGCCTTTCAAATCTTTTAAAATAAATAAATAAGAAATGATGAAGTCATTTTGGAAAAGAACTAAATAGGATTTCCAGAAATAAAAGATAAACATTTGACGTAAATCTCAATGGATGAGTTGGTATAACCATGTTTTCTATGTGTATATATGTATATATTCAGTAGGTTACTTAAGCAACTGAAGAAAAACCTAACTGGAAGGTAGATATGTAGCGATCCTCCAGAATGTCCAGAAACAGAATTAGAAATCTGGATTACTGGGGCTGGTTGGGGCGTAATGAGTTAAGCCGCTGCCCGCATCCTGCATGGGCGCCAGTTCAAGTCTCAGCTGCTCCACTTCCAGTCCATCTTCCTGCTGGTGTGTCTGGGGAAACAGTGAAAGATGACCCAAGCCCTTGGGCCCCTGCACCTGTGTGGGAGACCCAGACGAAGCTCCTGGCTTCTAGCTTTGGCCCAGCTCCAGCTCTTGAGTCACTTGGGGAGTGAACCAGCAGATGGAGGATCTCTGTCTCTCCCTTTCTCTCTAACTCTGCCATTCAAATAAGTGAAACATCTTTTTTTAAAGAAAATATGAGTTATTAAGAGACACAGGGGCAGGCATCGTGTTGCAGCAGGTTAGGCCGCTGCTCGGGACATCTGCACCCCACATCCGAGTGCCAGTTTGAGTCCTGGCTACTTCACTTCTGATCTGGCTTCCTGCTGACGTGCTTGGGAGGCAGTTGATGGTGGCTCGGATACCTGGCCCCTGGTGGCCCATGCGGGAGACCCAGATGGGGTTCCTGGCTCCTGGCCTTGGCCTGGCCCAGTCCAGGCTGCTGCGGGCATTTGGGGGAGGGAACCAGTAGATGGAAGACCTCCCTCTTCCTGTCTTCCCTCCGTCACATGCCTTTCAAGTACACACACCTTTAAAAGGGGGCACTGGGGGAGTGGGCAGTCTAATAAGAGTTGCTGTAGGGATGAAGAAAATAAAGACATAATGACGGAACTTTCTTTTCTTATTTTGTAAAGATTGATTTATTTGAAAGGCAGAGTTACTCCTCTGGTTCACTCCCCAAATGGCCGCAACAGCCAGAGCTGCGCTGATCCAAGGCCAGGAGCCAGGAGCTTCTTCTCAGTCTCCCACATGGGTGCAGGGGCCCAAGGACTTGGGCCATCCTCTTCTGCTATCCCAGGCCACAGCTGAGAGCCGGATTGGAAGTGGAGCAGCCGGGACTCGAACCAGTGCCACATGGGATGCCGGCACTGCAGGCGGCGGCTTTACCCACTACACACACCACAGCACTGGCCGTGACAGAATTTTTTAGAAGTAATGAACAACTCATAGAAAACCCAGTGAATCCCAGTGGATAAATGAAAAGAACTCCACATTTGGGCACATGACAGTAAAACTGTAAAATGACCAAGACCAAAAAATCTTTAAAAAGAGACAGGGGCTGGTGCTGTGGCACAGTGGTTAAGACACTGCCTCTGATGCAGACATCCCATACCTGTGCCAGTTAAGACTTGGCTACACCTGCTAGTGGGGCGGGGAAGCCAGTGGAAGATGGGCCAGCAAGCATTTGGGCCTCTGACACCCACGTGGGAGACCCAGATGGAGTTCCTGGCTCCTGGCCTTTCTCAGTTGCCTACCTTTCAACTAAATAAATATTTTTTAAAGGATTTTTTTTTTTTTTTGAAAGTCAGAGTTACACAGAGAGGAGAGGCAGAGACAGAGGTCTTCCATCCAGTGGTTCACTTCCCAGATGGCCGCAACGGCTGGAGCTGCGCCGATCCGAAGCCAAGAGCCAGGAGCCCCCTCCTGGTCCCCCATGCGGCTGCAGGGGCCCAAGGACTTGGGCCATCCTCCACTGCCTTTCCAGACCACAGCAGAGCTGGATCGGAAGAGGAGCAGCCAGGATTAGAACCGGCGCCCATATGAGATGCCGGCGCTTCAGGCCAAGGTGTTAACCTGCTGAGCCACAGCGCCGGCCCCCTAAAGGGCATCTATTAAAAACCTGTGACAAACATTTAGCGGTGAAACACTGCACATGTTCCCTCTGAGGTCAGACACAGGGTACCTGCTACCTGTGCTGCACTCTGTGTAGCGGCCTCACCTGGACAGGGGCGAGAGAAACAGGAGGCAGGGGCTCCACAGCACGAGAGGCGGCGAAGACTGCAGGGGAATGAGCGTTCTGTGTGTCGGTCACGGAGCAGGTTCATAAGCCGCACGACAGTCTAACGAGCATAAGTATGTATCAGGTACTCGAGAACAAGTCTAAGGAGGGAAGCATAATCTGTGTATGTAACTTTATTGAAAACATTAGATGGGGAGACACACCATGGAAATTTCAATTTCCTGTAGATACCCGTTTCCCCAAGTTGACCTACAGGTTCTGGTGGGTTCCATTCGTGATCTCAGCGGGGTTTTTATTGGTGGGCCCTGAGGACCAGCTGACCCTCAAATTCATCCGGGAGAGCAGGGGTCAAGAATAGATCTCGGCGGATTCTTCTCAAGGGAAGGGAACGGGGTGGCTAAGGTGACCCGTGGACCAGGGCGGGAAACTGCGTATGCCGCGGATCACCGCACCGCAGGGGACGGGAGCGGCCCGCAGCCACGCACACTCGTGTGTGAAAGTGAAACGGCAAAGGCGAGGCGCAGGAGAGTAAACCCGGGGGAGTCCGTTCGTGTAAAATACAAAACCACGCAAAAGCAGTACAAGCCCATGTCAGAAAAGCAAAGCGAGGAACTGGCACGGCCAGTGTCCCCCTCCCCCCGCCGGGGAGGGCTCAGCCGGGACCCGCACGCATGGGCCGGGGAGGGCTCAGCCGGGACCCGCACGCGTGGGCCGGGGAGGGGTTGTTTTACAAATAATCTCGCAGCTCCTCACCATGTAATGAAAATCAGGAGGATATCCCGGGGCGTGAGGGATGGCAGGGAGGGGCGTCGGGCAGGTCTGCCAATGCTCCGTGCAGCACCACGAGCCAGGCACACCGAGCCCCCAGCATGCTGAGACACCACAGACCAGCCAGCGACCCCGGCACGACCCCTGCGGGCACGCCTGGCCCTGAGGCCAAGCCGAGGGTGGACCCCCAGGGCCGCAGGGGGGTGTCTGGGTCCAAGTGCCTGCTCTGCTGCTTCTCCAGCTTCCCGTTCACGTGCACCTCGGGGAGCAGCAGGGACGCACAAGCACTCAGGTGGGAGGCCTGCGGTGGGTGCGGGCTTCACTCAGGTGAAGCGGCCAACGGGAGGCTTGCGGGGCCTCTCTCTCTCTCTGATTTCAAACGAGGGGGCTCTTGGGCAAGCCCGCTGGAAGGAGGACCGCCCCACATTTTCTGTGGACTCAACCCTGTTCAGGGCCCAGGCCCTCCTCCCTCCCTCCCCCAGTAACCCTGAGACCCCTCTGGTTTCTCCTGCAAACAGCTCTCCCACCCCTTCTCGCCCCAGAAGGGTGACCATGGGAGGGGCCGGGGGGGGGGCTCTGGAGCTGCCCCTTCCCTGCTTTCACTCATCCCCACCGTCAGCCTCGGCCTCACCTCCCCTTCCCGCCACTGGCGGGGCTCCTGAGCCTCCCAGGGTTCTGGGGGGCCAGCCCCTTTCCACTGGGCCTGCTGCTGCCTCCCCTCTCGCTTCCCTCCCTGGCTGCGTGTGTGTGTGTGTGTGTGTGTATCTCTTTATTATCATTTTAGAGATTCTAGGAGAAAGCTCTGGTTTACGCTGGCCGCACAGAGCCTGCTGCTTGCAGTCTATGCAGGAATGGTTAACAGGGAGCTGGAGGAGCAGGCGTCACGGGGCTTTGGCACCCCCCACCCCACCCCTCCTGCAGCTGCGCACAGTGAAGCCGAAAGCAAAGACCTGGAGTGGAGCGGACACCGGACTCCTTGAGCCATAACCTGCTGCCTCCCAGGCTGGGGGGCTGGGCTCACCCTGGCCCCGCCCCCTCCACTGCGACCCCAGGATCTCACGGAGCTGTAAGATTCTCACCCGCTGAGTGAGGAGAGACGCTGCCCAGTGGTCCCTGTTAGCTGCGAGGCTGCGTGAAACTGGCGAAGTGCGGGACTTCTCACAGCCGGATCCCAGCGGCCGTCCCGAGGAGGGGAGCCCTGGCCCCTGGGACCCTCGGGCCTGACAGTCGGGGCAGCCAGAAACAGCAGCCCCAGCTTAGGGACAGACCGGAAACCCAGCGAGCACGGGGAGTGGGGGTGGGGGCAGTGAGCAGGAAAGTCAGCAGTTGATTAGCCGGGCAGAAGGGCAGCGAGGCCGGCCTGGCCGCCGCGTGCCAGCCGCCCCTGAGTCACAGGGCCTGAGCGGGGCAGGGGTAAGATCAAGGCCAAGGCCGAGCTGGCGTTGCCCACTGCAGGCATCAAGGGCCACCCTGCCTCCCCCTCCCCTCCTCCGGGTGCAGCTCGGGCCCTTCCTGGGGTCAGGAAGCGGCGAGTCCCACCTCCGCCGCCGTCGGGAAGGTGATCCCATCCCCGGGCAGCGGGGAGGCCAGGAAGGGCCAGAGCCAGACGAGGGCCCAGCGAGGGCCCAGGGCGGCCTGCAGGTTGTGGCAGGGGCCCAGGTTGTAGGCGTGCTGGCCCCGAGCCCACTCCCACGTGGTCTGGCCCCGCAGCAGCAGCATCCCGTGGAAGAGCAGCCCGGCCGCACACAGCAGCGCCCCCGCCACGCACGTGTCCATCACGAAGGCCAGGGCAAACTGGGCCAGAGACACTCTGCCTGTGAGGAGAAAGCAGAGAGGGAGGGTCAAGGGCAAGGGTCGGGCCGGGCCCGGCTGCCCTCCCCCACTGGCTACTGGCTGGCCAGCCCCTGCGGGTCACAGGAACAGGCTGGTGAAACCGGGTGGACTGGTGCCTGCCTGGGACGCGGTGTCCATTCACGTGTCACCAGCTCGCTGGACACGTGCCAGGCCCTGAGTGTGCCGGGCTGGGGGGCGGGGCAGGCAACATCGGTCCCCGCGGAGTGCACACACACGTGGAGGAGGCCATCTCTCAGTTACGCGACTACAGCTGGGAAGGGGTCACCACGGACCACCTGGGCCTCAGCAGGGGACACGCACCGGCCAGCGAGGAGCCGCAGGATGCCAGGAACCCCCCTGCTGAGTGAGAAGCCGGCCGCAGAGGGCGCAGGCTGGAAGTGTCCTGAGCAGGCAGATGGGATTAGCGGCCGCCAGGCACTGGGGCCTATTGGGGAACGGGCAGGGCAGGGGCTGTAGCAAGGGCGGGGTGTGTGTGTGTGTGTGTGTGTGTGTGTGTGTGTGTGGTGCTCACCACTGTACTACACTGCCAAGGCACTAAAACCCGCTGAGTTGTCCTTGTAAGCAGGTTAAAATGCTTACTTTTACACGGTGTGAATGTTACCTACAAAGAGTGGCCTGGGGTGCTGTGCACCCTCTCAAGAGGGAGAGGAGTAAGTGGACGCTGTTTCAATGCAGGGGCAGAAGCCCTCTGCTGGCAGGCCGGGAACCAAGCACGGCTGTGGATCTGCAAAGCTCAGGACACAGACGTGCAAGCAGCCGGCACCCATCCGAGACGCGGGAGTGAAGAGGGAGACGGTGCCCAGAGCAGACTAGGAAGTCAGGTCTTTGGGGCTCAGACAAAAGAACAGAGAGGGCACCCAGCAGGGGAGGCAGATGCACCAGGCCCCAGCTGCTGGTGAGGTCCAGGGAGAACTTGGTGGTGGTGGGGGGGCTTCCTGCACCTGCAGGGTCTCCTGAAACAAGGGGAGGGCTCAGAAGGAGCCTGTGGGTTTCGTAAAATATTATTTAGGGCCTGGAGTTGCGGCGCAGCGGGTCGAGCCGCCGCCTGTGGTGCTGGCATCCAATCTGGGCGCCAGTTCGAGTCCCTGTGGCTCCACTTCCCGGTCCAGCTCCCTGCTAATGCTCTTGGGGAGGCAGTGGAGGATGGTCCAGGCTGGGCCCTGCTGCCCACGTGTGAGCCCTGTGGAGCTCCAGCCTCCTGATTTTGGCCTGGCCCAGCCCCAGCCTTTGCAGTCAGCTGGGGAGTGAACCAGCAATGGAAGCTCGCTCGCTCGCTCGCTCTCTCTCTCTCTCTGATTCTGCCTCTCAAAATCTTTTTAAAAATAAAATAATAAGATTTAAGAGGCAGAAAGAGGCTAGAGGCAGGCCGACAGCGTTCCTGCCCGCGAGCCCACTCCCCAAATGCCTGCAACAGCTGGGGCTGGGCCAGACGGACGCCAGGAGCCAGGAGTTCATCCGAGCCATCACCACTGCCTCCCGGGGCGCCCACCACCAGGGCACTAGAATCGGGAGCTGAACCAGGACTTTAACCCACAAGGGATTCCCATACGGGACGAAGGCATCTCCACCATGAGGCCCAACACCTGGCCTCGTCGTGTGGATTCTGCAGACAGAGCCCTGCAGCCCGTGGCAGCCCTGGGGAGGGCGAGACGCCAGGGGAGCAGCTGCAGCCGTGGGTGGGAGGTGAGGACAAGTGGCCGGGAGCCTGAGCCAGTCCTCGGGGAGCCTGCCCACGGGTGGGCAGACAGCGAGAAGGGAGGCTGAGAGGAGGGGGAGGGTGTGGGGTGAAGGGGTTTGTGCAGGTGGGGAACCCGAGGGAAGCTGAGAACAGAGGGTCAGGAGTCAAGGTGGTCAGCACAGCATGAAGCCTCCGGCGAAGGAGGGGGACACTCAGCCAGGGGTGGCGATTCGAGACCGGGTCCCAGGCCACCCTCTGACGTCCCGTCCTCTCCAAGACGGATCTTGGAGGACAGAGAGCGGGGAGGTTGGAGCGTCAGCCACTGGAGGAGCAAGCGTGCAGGCGAGCAGGATGGCCAGGCCCAGTGTGGGCCTGCTGAGGCCAGCAGGGTGGACAGGGCCTGCCACGGGGGACCGTGAGCCTCTGGCCGCTACCAGCAGGGAAAGGGGTGGAGGCAGAGGAGCAGGAAGGCACGGGGAGGGGAGGGGAGGCGCTGGGGCGCTGCCTACAGCAGCCGGGCGGCAGGGGGAGGGGGAGGGGAGGTGGGGAGCAGAGCAGGGCGGCGTGTGGGTGGCTTTGGGATTCTGAGCACACTGGGGTGTGACAAGGGAGTAGGAGGAGGAAGCCACCTGGGCACTGGGGCACTGGCATGGTCTCCAGGCACCCAAGACGTTGCAGGGCCCAGAGTGAGGGAGGCAGCAGCCCGGGCCACTGGGAGGGGTCGCAGGGAGGCACAGTGAGGGCAGGGGACGGTGAGGAGGGCTGGCCGGAAAGCCAGCGTGGACAGAAGGATGCTGAGAGCCCCAGGCCTGGGCTGCAGGGTAGGGGATCCCTAGGGTAGAGCAGGGCCGGGACAGGATGAGGAGGCACGGGGCAGTGGGCAGGTGGCTGTGGGAGAACAAGGTCACAGGGGGACCATGGAGAGGTCAGAGGGAGAGAACAAGGAGCAGAAACGGCAATGCATGCGTCACCCAGGACCTGGCGGCCCAGGCATCGTCCAAGTCCACGGCCGTCCTCCTGGCTTCCACGACTGGGCCTTCCTGTGCCCGGAACTTGCACCAGCTCCCCGCTGCCCCACAGGCCACGGCCATCTCCCCGCACCAGCGTTCAGGGCCCCCACTCCCCTCCCTTAATCCTCACAGACGGCCTCGCTGCCTGCGGAGCCTCCGCCCCTGCTGCTCATGTCACTGAGACCACCCCCTCCGACCCCTTGACTCCTGGAACCCCTCCCTGGTTCTGCCAGCCAGAGCCCTGGACAAGACGACTCACGCCAGCCCTGGCTGTTGGAGGCATTGGGGGAATGAACCAGGCGATGGAAGACCACCTCCCCTCTCTCTCTGTCATCTTTTCTTTATATATATATATATATATATATATCCTTATATTTCATGTATGTATATTTATCTGAAAGGCAGAGTTACAGAGAGAGGGAGAGACACAGAGAGAAAGGTCTTCCATCTGCTGGTTCACTCCTCGGATGACCACAATGGAAGCCAGGAGCCAGGAGCTTCCTCCAGGTCTCCCACGCAGGTGCAGGGGCCCAGCTACCTGGGCCATCTTCCGCTGCTTTCCCAGGCGCAGCAGCAGAGAGCTGGATCAGAAATGGAGCAGCCAGGACTCGAACCAGCACCCACAGGGGATGCTGGCGCTGCAGGCAGTGGCTTTACCCACTATACCACAAGGCCGGCTCCAACTCTGACTTCCAAATAAATAAAAAGACTTCTAAAGCTTGTGGAGGGGTCGGTGCTGTGATGTGGCAGGTTAGGCCACTGCTTGCAGCACTGGCGTCCCATTATCAGAGTCCAGCTCGAGGCCCCTGGCTGTTCTGGGATGTGAAGACGGGAGTGAGCCCACAGACAGAAGAGCTCCCTCTCCATCTCGCCCTTCCTCTCCCTCTCCCCTCTCTCCCTCCCTCCTTCCCTCCCTCTCTGGCTGACACTCTGCCTTTCAAATAAATCAGTCTCTTTTTTTTCCAAAACAACGTTCAAGGGGCCAAGCATTGTAGCCCAGCGGGTTAAGCTACCACGGGTAACATCAGCATCTCACATCAGAGCACCGGTTTGCCTCCCAGCTGCTCTGCTCCCGAGGCAGCTTCCTGCGAATGTGCCTAGGAAACAGCAGAGGACGAGGAGTGCTCGGGCCCAGCACCCTCGAATGAGACCCGGATGCAGCTCCGGGCTGCTGGCACTGCTCTGGCCCAGCCCTGACCGTCGTGGCCATTTGGGGAGTAAACCAGTGGATGGAAGATCTCTCTCTTTAACTCTGCCTTTCAAATAAATAAATACATAAAAAAAAAATTTTTAAAGCACAGCCATTTCCAGTTTGGCTTAAAAATAAACAAATAAAAAATAAAGTTAATACAAAATAGGCTTAAAAATATGTATCTTGGTACAAAGAATTTTTTCTGAAATCCATGCATACGAGGGAACTTAAGAGGGAGAGACAGAGAGGGGTTCTGATCTCCCACCCTCTGGTCCACTCCCTAGATGGTCACAGCAGATAGGTCTGCGCCGGGCAAAGGCCAGGAACCCGGAACTCCATGCAGGGCTCCCAGTGGATGCAGGGACCCCGGCACCTGGCCGCCTTCCACTGCCTGCCAGGGCACCAACAGGAAAGCTGGATCAGAACCACAGGGACCAGAACCACTGCTCCGATTCCAGATGCTGGGGTCAGCTGGCACCCCACTAGCGCCCCCACGGAAGCTTGTTTGTTTTAAAGATTTATTTATTTATTTGAAAGGCAGCGTTCTAGAGATGGATGGAGAACAGAAAGAGAGATTTCCCCTCCGCTTGTTCACTCCCCAGATGGCAGCAACAGCCAGGGCTGGGCCAACCAGAGCCAGGAGCCAGGAGCTTCATCCAGGTCGCCTATGCGAATGCAGGGGCCCAAGCACTCAGGCCAGCTTCTGCTGCTTTCCCAGGCGCATTAGCAGGGAGCTGGATCAGAAGTGGAGCAGCCGGGACTTGAACCAGCGCCCACACGGGATGCTGGTGCTGCAGGCGGTGGCTTAACCCACCGTGTGACGGAGCCAGGCCTCCCACACAACCTTTCTGAAGTCCATGTGCACTTGTCTTTGGGCACTGGATTTCCTGTCCCGGGCACCCTGGCTCTCCCCACCTCCCACAACCGACAGAGGCTGCTCCCCTGGGCCGCAGATCCCACCTCCCACCGCAGGGGGCGCCCCACCTGTGAGCAGCATGAGCCAGGGCAGCAGCAGGAGCGCGGCCGTGTGCAGGGGCGCCTGGGCGTGCAGCAGGGCTGCCAGCGCGGGGCCCAGCAGCACGGAGACGTGGAGCAGGACGCCCGCGGCGTGGAGCAGCAGGCACAGGAAGGGCCGGTAGTTGTGGAAGCCCACGCAGCGGTCCAGCAGGCGGCAGTGGTGGTCCCGGCGCAGGACGCAGACGCGGCAGGCAGGGCAGTGCCCGCTGCGCGGCGGCACCTGGCTCTGGCACTGGTGGCAGTACCTGCGGACAATGACCCAGACTCAGGCCCCCAGGCCGCCCCGGGCCCACCCCGGGGGAGCTGGGAACGGCCATTCGCCCGCCTCGCCAAGCCGCTGGTTGTTCGCAGGTAAACGCAGGCTGAACCGGCTTCCCTGTTCCCTTCCCGGGGCAGCTCTGCCGGCCTCAGCGGCCCCCGCCATCCATCACCTTGGCCCCCGCACTGGTCCCCCCTAGTGTAGCCTCACCCCGCAGCCAGACACGCTTGCAGTCTAAGACACGCCCCTCCTTGGCGCAAACCCCTGCAGGGCCCGTGAAAGCCCTCAGGCCACTTAGCCCCCACCTGCCTTTACATCCTCTGTCCCCACCTGGCAAACTCCCCCACTTCCTCCCAGCGTTTGCTCAGACGCCTCCTCCGGGAGGCCCACCTGGACCGTCGGTTTTTATTTGTTACATGATGCTTAAAATATCTTTGCTATTCTTAACCACAGATTGACAAAGCTCTAGGCATTCATGAGCAAGAGAAATTGACTTCAGTGACACTGATCCGACCTACGCAGGACCTGCACTGATTGGTCACCTGTTTAAAGCCGAACCTCCTTTCCGTCTGCCTGCCCCCGCCGCCCCCCTGCATTCTAGATGGCTGGGCTCGCCTGGCCTGGAATGAGCCGGGGGCTCAGGACCCCGCGCCTGCAGCAGGTGCTCGGCGAATATCCGCGAGTGAACGAATAGCATTCACCCCGGCTCTCCCTCCCCCGGTTCTAAAGGAGGTCTCTGGCTAACAAACCCGGATGCTACCGCAACCGGGTCCTGGAGTCTCCGGGCCCCGCGGTCCCCTCCCTCCTGTCCGAGGCTCCCGCTTCTCCCCGCCGATCCCGCGCCCCACTCACGCCCAGCCCTGGCCCAGGCCGCGGCCGGCCAGCATCACGCCGCGGATGCTAGGATCCGAGCGCAGGAAGAGCCCCACGTTGCCCAGCAGGTTAAGCAGCTGGAAGGCGGCCAGCGCCAGCTGCAGGGCCCTGGCCAGGGGTCCCAGCGGCGGAGGCCCGGGACCCAGCACCAGCACGTAAGCCAGCTCCAGGCCCACGGCCGCGGCCCACAGCGCCGTGAGCACGAGCGGTAGCCGCGCGGGCGCCCCTTCGGCGCGGCCAGCCGCCCACGGCAGCCCCATGGCCCGGACCCACCCGCTTCGGGACCCCGAGGACCCCGCCGCTTCCGTATTGGGGTGGAGAAGGCGGCAGACAGACGTCCACCCCGACCAATAGGAGCTCGTAACGGATGCGGCGCGCTCCAATCAAAGGCAGCGGCCGCGGATGCCGGGAGGTGATTGGGCAGCCGAGCGGGAAGGCGCCGCCCGCCGTCCCGCGGGCTCGGGAGCTGGGGCACGGCGGAGTCGCCGCGCCGCGCGCCCGCGCAGGGGCCGCAAGCCCGGGCCGCTGCCGGCGCGCCGGGAGGATTGAGTTGCAGCCTCGGCGGCGTCGGGGTTTCCCGGCTCAGCACATTCCCCCCGCCCCACAGCCGCCCCGGTATTAATAGCCCGGCCGCGGCGCATCCAGCTGGCTCCGAGCCGCGCGCCGTGCTCGGGTGTCTCCCTTCGTCACCCCAGAAAGCGTTCACCACGGCCCTTGGCCTCTGTGTTTCTGACTGTGAAATGGGGAGAGGGCTCCGTTTCCAACCAGCGCGGCGCCGGGGGAGGCCCTGAGGGCAGTCGCAGCTGTGACAGATCTCCATCGGACCGAGGGGGAAACAGAGAAGGCCCGCGGCTTTCCCAAGGCCGCACAGCGCCCTGGTGGCCGAGCCGGGACGCGAACCCCGGGTCTCAGCCAAGAGCTCCACCCCGGCTCCTCCCGGTTCCGCTGTCTCCGGCCCCAGGGCTGCCTCCTGCCTGGCCCAGACCCGAGCGCCCTCACCCCCATCCGGCCCCTCCCTCCGCCCCCATATTTAGTGCGAATCCGATCCTGGGCTGGGCCGGGCCCTACTTAACGCGGCCCGCGTGCCCTGCAGCGCGCGGAGCCAGGAGCCCGAACGAAGGAGAGGATGATGATGGTGATGCAGCCCGAGGGTCTGGGGGCCCGGGAGGGGCCCTTCGCGGGCGGCGGCGGGGGCGGCGAGTACATGGAACAGGAGGAGGACTGGGACCGCGACCTGCTGCTGGACCCGGCCTGGGAGAAGCAGCAGCGGAAAGTGAGTGCCCACCCATTTCGTGACAGCAAAACCGAGGCCCGAGGGGCCAGGCATTGTGCCCGGGTCGTCTCAGCAGTCCTAGACTCTGCCTGGTGGCCCTCTGCTGTCCCCCAGGGCTTAAAGAGAGGGCTGGGATCTCGCAGAAGGCGTTAGGACAAGGAGCGCTCCTGGGGTCCCCAGTCCAGCATTCGTCCTCCCCCCACCCCGGGGTCCCCCGCCCCAGTTCTGCTGGTGAGAAGGGTTGGCCAGAGCCCAGGAACCTGTCTGGGGTGGGGTGGGTATCCACGAGAACATTCTTTCTCCCGGCACCCACCCCACTCCCAGATAGTCCCAGACCTCACCCAGGGCTGGCGGCCAGGCTGGAAATGCGCTCTGGGGTAGGGGGGAGAGGGCCCACGTCAGAGCCAGCCCACCACTGTGTGTTCTCTCTGGTGGGGAGGGGCTGCCGTCGTTCTATTTCATGTGCCAATTGAGCAAACTGAGGTCCGCAAGGGGACAGAGAAAGGTCCCAAGTCATGTATGTCCCCACGGTGAGATCTTTGCTCCTTGCCCCACCCCGGCTGCTTCCCAAGATACCCCGGGGGCCCTGAATCTGCTGAAAAGGCCACAAGGTGTGGGTGGGGGGGAGTCCCGGGTCCCCTTACCAGTAACCCGACTCTCTGGCCAGATGGGCACTTTAGTGCTGAGACAGCACCTTGTGGGAGCTGGCCAGGCGCACAGGGGCAGCTGCTGCCCGGGCCCTGCCTTGTAGGGCGGTCAGGCGCCCCTCCCTGGACCGTCTTCATTCCCAGGCTGTCCCAAGTGGAGAAGGCAGGACACCTGGGTTCCCGAGAGAGCAAACTACCGCTGGGGCCGTGGCAGGCCAGGCAGGCAGGGGCAGGGAGGGCACCGCAGGGCTGTGGAGCCTGCTCCTCGTCACCCAGCTGGCCGTGTGTGAGTCCAGGAAAGGCAGGGTGCTCAGTGCTGGCCGGGGATCCCACACCTGACAATCAGAGCCCTCGCACCCTTCCGCCCGGTGGGCTGGCGGGAGATGACCCCAGGGGCTGGGAGGCTCAGCTGGCTTGGCTGGGGCGCCCTGGCTTTCACACCTCCCCCCAGGCTCCCTCTGCACCTGTCTCTGAGCATGGCTGCGGCTCCGGCTCCGGGGGTTCGGCAATCTCCCGGTGATGTCATCCCTGCCCCTGGCTCCAGCTGCCACCTGTTCTGCGACAGCTCCAATCCCCACCCCCAGCCGCGCAGGCCTCTCCAAGATGCAGGTCTGCTCGCCCCTCGCAGGACACAGGACAGTCTGCAGCTTGCCGTTGTCACTTAAAACCTCTGGGCCAGCATCCAGCGTCCAGCCGCCCACCAGCTCCACTCGTTCAGCAGGGGCATGGCATCCATGCTCCGCCAGCAGCCCCTGGAGCTGCGTGTCTCCCCGCCCAAGACTGCTTATTTAGTGAGCCCTTGGGCTCAGCTTGAGCCCCGCCCAGTCCTGCTGCTGGGCTCCCTTTCTCACCGGGGACTCCTCCATGCAAGGGCACCCCATGGCCTGGTGTCTCCCACCTGGGCCCTCTCATTCACCCTCACCCCAAAGCACTCATTCACGCAATGGATACATGGTAAGGCGATCTTACCGTGCCAACACCATCGTAGGTGCCAGGATTCAGAAGGAGCCCCTATCTCGGCCCTGGATCCGGCCTCACCCCCGTCCCAGTCACCACGTCCTTGGTCCTGCCGAGCCGCTCTGCAACCAGAAGGAGCTTCGGCGGCCTCCCCCCCCCCCAACCCCCCTGTCTCTCCAGCGTCCCCAATCCTTGTTTTGCCCTCAGGCTCCAGTCCCAAGTCCACAGCTTAGCACCCGAGGTGGTGCATGACCTGGCCCCTGCCGCCCCTCCGGCCTGCCTCTCACCACTGACACCTCCTCCGCGCCCCAGCTTCATCCCGGCAGGGCCTGGAGAGCTGTCGTCCCAAACACAGCAACCGTCTCTCACCACCGGGCACTTGCCCGTGGGGCTGCGCCTGCTGGCAATGACCTTGCCTGCCCTGCCCTGCCTGTGTAATTCCCGTTGTTCCATGGCTGCGCTGACCACCGGCAGCTTTCCTGGGAGCTCCCTGCATGACTTGGACAGCAACGCCTCCTTCCCCGCCAAGTCTCTTCCAGCACGTCTCAGACCAACACGACTCTGGTTGGCAGGGACCACCTCTCATCGGAGCCATGTTCGGCCCCACTCAGCCTGTGTCCCGAGTGTCCCTGCTCTATCCGAACCCAAGCACTCAGACCCCAGGGTTGGAAGAAACTAGAGAATCCAGCTGCCCCATCCGGTGCTCAGGTCCCCATCGAGTGGTGGGCAGTATCCAGTTACATACCTCCAGCGACGGGAGGCTCACTCCCTGCCCTTAGCAATGACAGCCCCCATGTCCGGCGGAAGGAGCGTCCCAGGTGGCTTCCAGGGCCCCCTCCGGGAGGAGGAGTGCCCTGAATCCTAGAACCCTGCCAGCCAGAGGAAGAAGACCCGAGACGTCATGGAGTCTGCCCCCTCGATTGTCCGACTGGGGAGACCAAGCCCCAGAGAGGGCAGGGGCTGACTCCAGATCGTGAAGAGTGAGAGCCCAGCCGTGGGCTTAGCCAAGGGCTCTCCAGCTAATGGCAGAGTTCAGGGTCCGAGGCCCAGCAGGCGGCCAGAAGCCTCTGCACCCGGCTTCAGGTCACGCCCCTCCCTACCCGGCATGTAGCCCTGCGCCACCCCTCCTGCCCCACTGGAGTCTGAGGCCGCGCCCAGCTCTCGGGGCAGGGGCAGGCCCTCACCTCCAGAAACCAGGCCAGGCTGAAGCCTGCTGTGGCCCCGCGAGGTCTCCGGCTGGGATCACAATAGCACAGGTGCACAGTCCCTCAGACAGAGCCCCCCGGGCCAGATGCGGTTCTCCCCAGAATTCTCTAGATTTTACAAAGGCAGTGTCACCTGCACTGGGCCCCTGCCTGCGAGGTTGTTCAAGTCTTCCAAGACTGGCAAACTGGGACCAAGTCTGAGCTGAGTCCTGCATGGGCCCCGGACCCCAGCTCTCCCCTTCTGGCAGAGCCAAAGCCCAGGGAGGGAAAGGCGCTGGCCCCGGGAGCGCGGCAGGTGTGCGGCTCAGCCGGGACCTGAATCCAGGCCTGCAGGCTCTGAGACGGGCCCTGGACAGGGAGACAGAGCTGTGCCCCGCGTCCCTCAGCCCCAGTTCACGGGTCTGAGCATCGCCCTCTGCCCCCAGACCTTCACCGCCTGGTGCAACTCACACCTGCGCAAGGCGGGCACCCAGATTGAGAACATCGAGGAGGACTTCCGCAACGGCCTCAAGCTCATGCTGCTGCTGGAGGTCATTTCAGGTGAGGGTGTGGAGCCGTGCTGGGGGAGTGGTCGCTGGGGGAGCCGTCGCTGGGGGAGCCATTGCTGGGGGAGCCGTCGCTGGGGGAGCGGTCGCTGGGGGAGTGGTCACTGGGGGAGTGGTCACTGGGGGAGTGGTCACTGGGGGAGCGGTCACTGGGCGCTGGGGGAGCGGTCACTGGGCGCTGGGGGAGCGGTCACTGGGGGAGCGGTCACTGGGGGAGCGGTCACTGGGGGAGTGGTCGCTGGGGGAGCCGTGCTGGGGGAGCGGTCACTGGGGGAGTGGTCGCTGGGGGAGCCGTGCTGGGGGAGCCATCGCTGGGGGAGCCGTGCTGGGGGAGCCATCGCTGGGGGAGCGGTCACTGGGCGCTGGGGGAGTGGTCACTGGGGGAGTGGTCACTGGGGGAGCGGTCACTGGGCGCTGGGGGAGCGGTGGCCTCAGTGTGCTGGAGGGGACTCCATCCAGAGGGGAGGGGCTGAAAAGAGTTTGGGGACAATGCCTTCAGCTGCTTTGCATGACCTCCGACCTCTGGCCTGCCCTCTTACACGCAGGAGAGAGGCTGCCCAGGCCAGACAAAGGCAAGATGCGCTTCCACAAGATCGCCAACGTCAACAAGGCCCTGGACTTCATCGCCAGCAAAGGGGTTAAGCTGGTGTCCATTGGGGCTGAAGGTGAGGGGGGGGCTCTCTCGACATCAGCTGCACGCTTGCACCAGCCTCTGTTTCGTCACCTCCGTAATGGGCACTGAACAGAGCAAGTGAACCCCAAGTCCAGCACCCAGCCGGGGTTGCTGAATCGTTAAGTAACAGTGGCCGCTCCGTGGTGCCAGCCGTGGGGTGGGCGCGAGGGCCCGGGGGCTGAGCCGGGGCAGGGGAGCCGAGGCAGCCGAGGCAGCCGGCATCCGCCCCCTCCGTGCCCCGCAGAGATCGTGGACGGGAACCTGAAGATGACCCTGGGCATGATCTGGACCATCATCCTGCGCTTCGCCATCCAGGACATCTCGGTGGAGGGTGAGCACCGAGGAGGAGGAGGAGGCGGGAGGGCCGGCCCAGACCCCGCCCAGCTCACGCCCTGCCCCATTCCCACCAGAAACCTCGGCCAAGGAAGGCTTGCTGCTGTGGTGCCAGCGCAAGACGGCGCCGTACCGCAACGTCAACGTGCAGAACTTCCACACCAGGTCGGGCAGCTGCTCAGGCCTCTGCCGGGCACTGGGGCACAGGAAGAGCCCTCCCAGGCCCTCGAGGGCCACGGGGCTGACGCCTGTCACAGCCCGCAGCGGGGGAAGAGGTCATAGCCAAGTTCTTCATTATTACTATTCAGACTCACTTATTTGAAAGGTAGAGTTATGGAGAGAGAACAAAAGAGGAAGAGAGAGATCTTCCATCCACTGGTTCACTCCCCAAATGGCTGCAACAGGCAGGCCAGGCCAGAGCCAGGAGCTTCATCCGGGTCTCCCATGTGGGTGGCAGAAGCCCAAGCACTTGGGCCATCCTCCGCTGCCTTCCCAGGCACATTAGCAGGGAGCCGGATGGGAAGTGACAGCATCGGGGATTCGAACCGGCGCCCCTGTGGGATGCCAGCGTCGCAGGTGGCAGCTGAACCTGCTGCACCACAACTCCGGCTGCCCTGGCCAAGTTCTCGAAACAGTGTCTCAAAGTGGAAGGACTCAGCAAATGTTTAACAGAATCGACTCCGGGGGTGGGGGGGTGACAGAGAATTCCTGGCGGCAGGAGCCAGGTGACCTCCCCAGAAGGGTACATTGCAGCCAGAGGGAAAACTGGCCTGGCCTAAGTGCAGGGCTGTGAGGGAACCCTGGTGACCCTGGAGGAGTGGTCCACGCAGCAGCCGGGGGTTGCACTTCCTGCAGTCTTGCAGAGGGTGCTCCTGGGCGGAGGGGGCAGGGCCTCTGCTGGCCCCCAGGCCTGACCCCGCTTCTCTCTGTGCAGCTGGAAGGATGGCTTGGCCCTCTGTGCCCTCATCCACCGACACCGCCCCGACCTCATCGACTACGCCAAGCTGCGCAAGGTGGGCCTCTGCCCCCTCCAGCCCCAGCACCCCACGCTCTGCCCTCAGCTGCCCTCTGACCTCTCCCTGCCACGCCCATCTAGGATGACCCCATCGGCAACCTGAACACTGCCTTCGAGGTGGCGGAGAAATACCTGGACATCCCCAAGATGCTGGATGCGGAAGGTGAGAGCCAGCCTGATCCGGACAAGGAATTCGCTGCCTTGGCAGGGGGCCCAGCCCCACCTCCACACCTGTGCTTGCTCCTCCCTCCTCCCAGAATGCTCCGCCTCCACCCCACTCCATGGTCCCAGTCTTCCTGCCATCGCCCCTTCTCGTCCTCCTCCCGTCTCTGCCTCATTGCCCCATCCCCCGCGTTGCCTGGCATCGTGTTGGTGCCCAAGACTGCAGCTCCCCCAGGCCCATCCTGCCTCTGGCCCCTGTGCCCAAGCAAGGTGTTTAGTTAATTGAAGCAGCAAACGTTCTCTGGACATGGCCCTTGCTGTGTGGACACAGGTGGAAGAGAACTTGTCTTGGCCCTAAGGAGCCCATGGGCATGGGGACAAGAGGGACAGATACACAGATGGAGTTATAGGCACCAGGCACATGTGGACTGTCCCTCCCGGGGCCACAGGGTCAACTCACTCACCCATCCCTTGCACCAGGCTCAACCCCAAAGGAGCAGGTTGCTGGGCCCTTGGGTAATCAGGGAAGAGGAAGACACAGGTGTGCATAGGTGGTAGCTGGTGGCCGAGACTAGAGGTCTTTAGCCTCTCCTTCCGGGGGGTGGACGGACGCTTGAGCTCACTCCCTGCCCTTGGCTTTGGCCATCCTACACCTCGCTGCCCCTCCCCCAGACATCGTGAACACCCCAAAGCCAGATGAGAAGGCCATCATGACCTACGTGTCCTGCTTTTACCACGCCTTCGCCGGGGCCGAGCAGGTAGGGCCCACATGGGTGGTGGTGAAGAGTTTGGAGGGGCTGGCCCTTGGTGGAGGGCACTGAGGGAGCAGAGGCCTCTGACCTGGAAGCTGGGCAGCCCCTCCTCCCCCTTTTGGCCGGACCCCCGGTTTTCCAGGGCTCTCCCAGAGAGCTGGGCTGGGGGCTCCCGGGCAGTCTGTTCAACACCAGGCCTGCCCACACCCACCACAGGCGGAGACAGCTGCCAACAGGATCTGCAAGGTGCTGGCTGTGAACCAGGAAAACGAGAAGCTGATGGAGGAGTATGAGAAGCTGGCCAGCGAGGTGAGACCCCCGCCCCGGCCCCAAAGTCCCTCCCAAGCCCGCCAGCCCCCACATTGGCCTGCAGAGCCTCCTTGGCTGCCCCAGCCTCCTCCTGCCCACCCCCACCATCCCCTGTCCTGCTCATCCTGGTTGCTGATCGCCACGGACCGATCCTCACTCTGATTACGGATTCTCGCATCCGTTCACTCCCTCCTTAATAGGCAGTCGCCTGGCCCTGTGCTAGGCTTGGCCCTGGTCTCAGAAGCTAACCTTCCCAGACTGCTGGGGACCGCCCCCTCTTGCCCTCCATGGCTGTGACAATCACCCCCACACACAGCCCGAGTGTGGGTGGAGAGGGGTGCGTGAGGGGCGCAGGCGGCTCAGAGCACCCGCTTTGCCTCCGCCCGGCCCTGCAGCTGCTGGAGTGGATCCGCCGCACGGTCCCGTGGCTGGAGAACCGAGTGGGCGAGCCCAGCATGAGCGCCATGCAGCGCAAGCTGGAGGACTTCCGGGACTACCGGCGCCTGCACAAGCCGCCCCGCGTGCAGGAGAAGTGCCAGCTGGAGATCAACTTCAACACGCTGCAGACCAAGCTGCGCCTCAGCCACCGGCCCGCCTTCATGCCCTCCGAGGGCAAGCTGGTGTCGGTGAGCCCTGGGTGCCCTGGCCTCCACGTCCCCATCTGAGCAATGGGTCAGCCGTGACGGAGGGCGCCTCTGCCTGCCCCACAGGACATCGCCAACGCGTGGCGGGGGCTGGAGCAGGTGGAGAAGGGCTACGAGGACTGGCTGCTCTCGGAGATCCGGCGCCTGCAGAGGCTGCAGCACCTGGCCGAGAAGTTCCAGCAGAAGGCCTCCCTGCACGAGACCTGGACCCGGGGTAGGTGCCCCCGCCCCCTGCACCGGAAGGAGTGGGTGCGGGCAAGCTGCAGGCCCGAGTGGGACCCGGGGTAGGTGCCCCGTGCCACCTGCACCGGGAAGGAGTGGGTGCAGGCAAGCTGCAGGCCCAAGTGGGACCCGGGGTAGGTGCCCCCGTGCCACCTGCACCAGGAAGGGCTGGGTGCGGGCAAGCTGCAGGCCCGAGTGGTCTTCCTTGCTGTGGTCTCCCTGTCCTCTCTGGGCACCCGTTTCTCTCTGCACAAACTCCGCTCCTCCTCCCACTGCCTTCCTGGCTCTGGCCATCTAGAAGCCCTGCTGTGAACCCACAGGGGTGCCTGAGTTCTTTTAACATTTTATTTATGTATGTAGCAGGTGTCCAAAGGGGAGCCCAGCCCTAACCCTAACACCACTTTTCTGAAATTCAAAATATATTGATGCATAATATATTGTCAGATACAAGGGAATTTCAAAAAGTCTGTGGGAAGCGGAATTAAAAGATTGATTTGTTTTGGTGCAAAAAAAATTTGGAATCCATGCATAATTTTATCATAATATACGTTTTTCATGAACTTTTTGAATACCCCTTCTATTCCTGAATTTCAAAATTTTTGTACCAAAATAAACTTATCTTTCATTTTCCATGGAATGTTTGAAGAACCTTGTACATCACTCTGTATAGTATTTACTTATTTGAGACACAGAGAGAGCTCCCATCCCATAGTCCACTCCTCAGATGCCCGCAGCCTGGGCCAGGGTCCCTCGCTGGGAACCTGCGCCATGGCCGGCTGCCTCTTGGGGTCTGCATGATCGGGAAGCTGGGAATGGAACTCTGGTAAGGGGCTCAGGTGTCTCAACCACGAGGCCAAACGTAGGTTCGTGTTCTGGCCGGGATTTTAATCCTGCACGTGAACAATCCTGCTTAGAAACAGCAAGTAACACTAGTAATGGATTATGGGCGTCAGGAGTCATCATTACTGCTGTGTGACCTGGGTCGTCTCGGAACTTGGACACCTCACTTCTCCTCTCTGTCACTGCCACTCCTGTGCTGTTGGGTTTTATCTGCAAAATCATGGTGACTGTCACTTGCAAGCACTTTAATAGTTATCATTCACTCGTCCAAAAAATCTTCACTGCGCCAGGAGTTGAGGAAGCAGGGGTGAGCGAGGGAAACTGAGGCAGGGGCTCGCGGGGCTTGGATAGCCATTGAGGTGAGTGAGGTCGCCGGGGACCACGTAACTCCTGGACAGTACCAAGGGTCAGCACGGGTGGTGCTGGGTCAGGGGGCGCGGTGCTGCGTTCATTGCCACAGAACCCAGCGCCACTTAACCCCACCACGCTGGCGCCCCCGAGCGACCCCACCCCCAGGCTGGGCTGGACAGGTGTGGTCACCCGCGCTCACAGCCGGGCCCGATCCCCCTGCGCCTGACCGGACGGCGCCGTCTCCGAGCAGGCAAGGAGGACATGCTGACCCAGCGCGACTACGAGTCGGCTTCGCTGCAGGAGGTGCGGGCGCTGCTGCGGCGCCACGAGGCCTTTGAGAGTGACCTGGCCGCGCACCAGGACCGCGTGGAGCACATCGCCGCGCTGGCCCAGGAGCTCAAGTAGGCGTGGCCCGCCCCCCACCTCGCGCGGGGCCCCGCCCTGCTCCCGGTGCCCCCCTTGCCAGAACCCGCGGGGGTGCCCGAGTCACCCCGTCTCTCGGACCCCGCTCTGTCCACTACAGACTTCCGGCCTGGCCTCTCCCTTCACCTCCGGGCCTGGGTCTGCTACCCCCGGCCACTTCCTCGTGTCAACCTGCTCTTTCTCTCACGGCCCCGCCCCTGAAGCCCCAGGCCCCGCCTCTCCACCGAGCCCCTCAGGGGGGACCAGCGCTGAGGCCCCGCCCCCCCAGGAACACGCAGGGCCGCCCTCTAGGAAACCCCGCTCAACGCTGGACCCCACACCTGCCCGGGGTCCCTCTGCCTTCAGCACCACCCGGAGCGCGGGTTCCCGTCCCCGAGGGCGGGCAGGAGGCAGTCTGGCCCGGCTCTGGGCCCACGCCTGCCCCCGTCTTCCTACCCCCAGTGAACTGGACTATCACGAGGCGGCCTCGGTGAACAGCCGCTGCCAGGCCATCTGTGACCAGTGGGACAACTTGGGCACGCTGACCCAGAAGAGGCGGGATGCACTGGAGGTGGGGCGTGGGCCGGGGAGCTGGGGGAGTGCGGGGAGACCAGGCCTCCTGGGCGGGCTGCCCGCTGACCCTGGCCCCGCCCTGGCCTGGCCCTAGCGGATGGAGAAGCTCCTGGAGACCATCGACCAGCTGCAGCTGGAGTTCGCCCGGCGGGCAGCGCCCTTCAACAACTGGCTGGACGGCGCCATAGAGGACCTGCAGGACGTGTGGCTGGTGCACTCGGTGGAGGAGACCCAGGTGGGCGCCCAGGCGCCGGGCCGTGGCAGGCTGTGCCTGGGACCGTCACCCACTCCGCTGGGCTCCTGGGGAGGGGGAGGGGTGGGAGGAGAACCCCAGTTCCAGAGAGGTCGGAAGGCCTGGGCAGTCGCTGGCCCAGCTCTGCCTGGGTTGCTGCTGCCCCTTCCACGGCCTGACGGATGCTTCCTGCCCGTGGCCTCCAGAGCCTACTGACCGCGCACGATCAGTTCAAAGCCACGTTGCCGGAGGCCGACCGGGAGCGAGGCGCCATCCTGGGCATCCAGGGCGAGATCCAGAAGATCTGCCAGACGTACGGGCTACGGCCCAGCTCCACCAACCCCTACATCAACCTCAGCCCGCAGGACATCAACACCAAGTGGGACACGGTCAGTGTCACCCTGGGCCCTTGCCACCCTCCGCCGCACACTCTCAAGGGCCCAGAAACCTCAGGTGTCCCAAGATAGGGGAGAGCAGTGTCCCCACCTTCAGATCTGGGGTCTGCCCCGGGCTCCGAGTGGTGGTGGATAGGCCGCCTCGCCCGGAGAGCGGCTATATGGGCTGTAAGATCTTCCCAGGCGGCTTCCGTGCCGAATGAAGTCTCGTGTGTGGACACACTTCATAAAGCCGCCCGTGTCAGTTACGCGTGATGCCGCTGGCCCCACAGTACAGACAAGGACACTGTGGCCTGGTCTGAGCTGAGTGACGTGACCGTACATCACCCGTGCAGCCCCAACAGTTTGGCTCACGGCAGCTGGGGCTGGGGTGTGAGGGGCTCAAGCCCACCTTTGCTCCCGGTGATCTTCCAGCCCCCGGAGCCGGCCCTGGCACGACCACTCTCCTCCCCAGGTGCGGAAGCTGGTGCCCAGCCGTGACCAGACGCTGCAGGAGGAGCTGGCCCGGCAGCAGATGAACGAGAGGCTGCGGCGACAGTTTGCAGCCCAGGCCAACGCCGTGGGGCCCTGGATCCAGGCGAAGGTGGAGGTACGGGCTCGGGGAAGGGGACCGAGCAGGGCTATGGGGTTGGGACTGGGCCGGAGTGTGTTCGGAGCCCTCACCTCCCTGCCTGGGCACCCCCTGCAGGAGGTGGGGCGGCTGGCGGCCGGGCTGGCCGGCTCCCTGGAGGAGCAGATGGCTGGGCTGCGGCAGCAGGAGCAGAATATCATCAACTACAAGAGCAACATCGACCGGCTGGAGGGTGACCACCAGCTGCTGCAGGAGAGCCTGGTGTTTGACAACAAGCACACGGTCTACAGCATGGAGGTGCGCGCCCGCCCAGAGGGGCCCCCAGTGCACCCTGAAGACACTGCCACCCAGCGACAAAGTGGCCCGTGCTCAGGCACAAAGCAGCCTAAAGCCAGGCCGAGCTGGGCCGCAGCTGGTCGACCAACGCGCCCCATCTGTGTGTGATACATGGTCACCCTTCGAGGCAGGGAGGGCTGCTGGGGGCCACTCAGCGCCGTGCCCAGCTGGGGACAGAGGCCCAGGGCCGCGCGGTGCTTTGCGAGTGGAGCTGGGTTGGTGGCCTGGCTCCGGCTGCCCGCCCGCTCACTGGCCTGTCTGTCCCCTGCTGTCCAGCACATCCGCGTGGGCTGGGAGCAGCTGCTCACCTCCATCGCCCGCACCATCAACGAGGTGGAGAACCAGGTGCTGACCCGGGACGCCAAGGGCCTGAGCCAGGAGCAGCTCAACGAGTTCCGGGCATCCTTCAACCACTTCGACCGGGTCAGCAGGGGCCCAGCCGCGCGGGTGAGCGACGCGGGGGCCGGGAGGTTTCGGGGACCCTGCCTGACACCCACTCGCCTCCAACAGAAGCGGAACGGGATGATGGAGCCCGATGACTTCCGCGCGTGCCTCATCTCCATGGGCTACGACCTGGTGAGTCCGTCCTGAGTGCCCCCCCCCCGCCCCAGGCACCGCAGGCTCAGACGCGCAAACGACCTCGCGCCTCCTTCTGGGTGACCCTAAGGTCTGAGCTTGCGCAGAGGGCGGCGCGGCCCTGGGAGGACACCGGGACCAGCAAGGCACTGGGGCTCTGCCAGGCAGGAAGCAGACCTGGGGCCCAGCACCCAGGACTGACTGAGGCGTGTGGAGGACGGGAGCACCTAGGCAGTGCTCAGCGGGGACCCCGGGGGCCCGCCTGGCTCCAGCACCCATGGGCCCGGCGCCCGGCCTCTGTGTCTGCAGGGAGAAGTGGAGTTTGCACGCATCATGACCATGGTGGACCCCAATGCAGCCGGGGTCGTGACCTTCCAGGCCTTCATCGACTTCATGACCCGGGAGACGGCCGAGACCGACACGGCCGAGCAAGTGGTGGCCTCCTTCAAGATCCTGGCAGGAGACAAGGTGGGCCCGGGGCGGGGGAGGAGCTGGCGGCCTGGGTCAGGGAGCAGGACCCGGGGCGGGGCTCACCACCTCCTCCCTGTCCCCCAGAACTACATCACCCCCGAGGAGCTGCGGCGGGAGCTGCCGGCCGAGCAGGCTGAATACTGCATCCACCGCATGGCGCCCTACAAGGGCGCCGGCGCTCCAGCCGGAGCCCTGGACTACGTGGCCTTCTCCAGCGCCCTCTACGGAGAGAGTGACCTCTGATCTCCGACCCCTGGGGCTCTTGACTCCAGACAGAAAGAACGCTTCCTGTGGCCGATCCCACCCATCCCCGGGAGCGAGGACCCCAGAGAAGGGCCAGCCGCGTGGCTCTGAATAAAGATCCATCTGGGGCCTCTCCCAGTCTCCTTGTGGCTCCGGGACAGGATCGGCTCCCTCACCTTGACCGGCCAGGGGTCCCTGCCCTCCCTCCTGCCCTGGGGGACCGGGCACGCACACCACACTGGCCACTGGCACGCCTCTTTATTGCAGTTAGGAGAAGGGGGTTATGAGTTTCCTAGGTGGGGAAGGGGACACTGTCCCCAAATCCAGGGGGACCCGAAAACTTCTAGATCACACAGAAGAAAGCTGGGGGAGGCAGGACAGGGCTGGGCTCGAGGTCAAAGCATTTCCCTCCTGCTCCCTCCCCGAGCCCCGGGTCCTGGCCCTGGCCCCAGCCGCCAGCACGTCCGCCTCCAGCCGGTCCTCCTCACATCCACAAATCAACGAAGGCGCAGTAGGGGGAGCTTCAGGGTGGGAGCAGGCCGAGTGGAGGGGGCGGTGCCCCAGCCCAGTGCCCTCCGCTCACCCTGAGGCTCCCACCCAGCGCCCGTTCCTCACCAGCGGTGCCTGGGGAGGGGCCTGGACGTGCGGGTCAGGCTGGGCAGGGTTGGCTCTGGTCAGCACCAGGTCCCGTGCCGGCAGGCTCCTCAGTCCACCACCGCCGAGCTGGCCATGGTGTTCACACCGCACACCCCGGACCCCCGGTACAAGTAGTAGTAGCCCTGCGGGGGGAGGCGGCTTGGTGGGGGCGCTCGGGCGGGCTGGGGGCGCTGGTGGGCGGGGCCGTGCTGCTCACCTCCTCACCCCAGTCGGCGCCCCAGCTGTTCTTGATGGCCCAGAAGGGAGTGGCAGAGCCTGCAGAGCACGAGAGGTCAGGGCCTCAAGCACTCGGCACTCGTCAAACACCCACGGGGGCACCGGGAAAGAGCAGAGAGCCAGAGGCCCGCCCGCCCCCCACGGACGCCCGGCATGGCTCCGGGCACGGGCAGGGCACCCCATCCGGCCGGTGACTGGTCCCTAGCGGTGCACACGCCTGTGGCCTCAGCTTTCCCGTGGAGAGGGGGAAGGGGTGAGGACGGCGCTCCTAGGCGTCCCCTCCACCCCCCTCTCTGGCCAGCGATGCTAAGGCCTGGGGCAGACGGACAAACATGGTCGGTGGGACTCACGGTTGCCGTAGCCCACCAGCAGCACGGCGTGGTCGATGAGCCAAGGACTGCAGAGGGGCCGGAGCGGGTGGGCGATCCCGCGGCGGTAGAACTGCAGAGGAGCGTAAGGAGTGGGGGCCGACTCCAAGGGGAGGTGGGGGAGGGGCCCGCAGGAGGCGGGGCAGGGCAGCGGGGCCAGGGGCTCACCTGCATGCCAAAGGCATTGATGGCGACAGAGATGGGGCCCCTCTTGGCCAGCCAGGCCGCCAGCTCTGAGAAGGAGGGCGTGTGTCAGTGGGCTCACAGGCCACAGCCCCATCCAGCCGGGACCCCCCCCATCCCCCCGCCCCCTACTCACTTTGCTCATTCTGGCTCAGCTCCACCGAGTCATTGATGTAGACCTTGGCCTTCTGTGCCGAGAAGTTGCAGGCCTGCATGTGGCCCTGGTAGGTGTAGTCCTCCTCTGTCTCCAGACCTCCTACAGGGTGGGGGCGGGGCGGGGTGGGCAGAGAAAGGCAGGCTTCCATCCACCAGTCACTCACCGCCACCTCCCAGCCAGGAGAAGTGACGTCTTGGGTTCCTTACCGACTTCTCTGAGAAATATACCCATTCTAGAGCTGGTGCAACTGAGGCTGCGGGGGCGGGGAGAAGACCAGCAGGAGAGGTGGCAGAGACGGAACTCAAACCCCAGCCTCTGCCTCCTCACTGAGGCTGGCTGCACAGTCCCGGGTCTCCTGACCTGGGCTCTCTTGTGCTGCCCTGACCCGTCTGCTCCTCCCGCCGCCCAGACCCCGACAGGCTCCTGCACTGGTCCCCCTTCTGTCAGTGACCTGGGTCACTGCAGCCCAATGCCATTTCGCAGATGAGAAAACTGAGTCCTCAAAGGGCCTTCGGTCGAGCGAAGGCAGCGTTAAGAACGCAGGGGTTTTGGTGTGGTGCCGCGGGTGAAGCCGCCGCCCGTGACACTGGCATCCCATCGGAGCGCCGGCTGAGTCCCGGCTGCTCCACTTCCCACCCGGCTCCCTGCTAATGTGCCTGGGAAGGCAGCAGAAGGTGGCCTGAGCACAGGGGGCCTGCACCCGTGGGAGACCTGGATGGAGTTCCAGGCTCCTGGCTTCAGCTGTTGCAGCCACTTGAGAAGTGACCCAGTGGACGGATCTCTCTCTCTCCAACCCCCCCAGCCTCCCCTCCCCCCGTAACTCCACGCTCCTGTCTCCCCCTCATGGACAGACTTCGCACAGAGCGGAAGCGGCACCTGCCGCCCAGCCAACCCCACCCACGCATACCCAGATTCTTTATGGCCGAGTAGGCGTTGGAGGGCAAGCCGCCCAGGCAGGCTTTGTCCAGCTTGTCACAGTCCAAGAGCTCTAGGAGACAGAAGGCCGGTCCCGAAGCGCCCTCTTGCAGGGGCCGGGCTGGGGACACGGGGGCACACGGGAGGCTCACCCTGCTCTGACAGGGACAGCAGGGTCCCCCGCTTCAGGAACCACTGGCCCTCCACGTTGCCCGTGACCGAGAAGGCCCAGCAGGAGCCACACATGCCCTGCAAGAGACGGGCAGCGTCAGGGCTGCGTGGCCTCCCCATGGCCCGTGCAGTGTCCACGGCCCGCTCTCACTTCTCAGGGGGCCGACCTGGTCCTTGACGTTGGTGACGGCCCCCTTACTCCTCCAGTCCCACTGAGGGGGCGCGGGGTCCTCCACGGGCTTGGCCAGTTGCATCTTCTTGCCAGGCTCCGACCGCAGGAGGGGGTTCAGGTAGATGGTGCGGAACTCCTCCTCTGTAGGCACAGGGGGCGGGGCGAGCGGAGGAAGAGGATGCCAAGCCGGGCCTGAGCAAGGCCCTGCAGGCTCCCTCGGGGCTCCGGCCAGGACTCCCACCTGTCAGGTCGCTGAACTTGGTGATCCCATACTGAGCCGTGCCTCGGTCCAGGGACTGGATCTTCTGTGCCCGCACCATGTTACTGGCAAAGACGGACAGGCGCCACTGGGCTTCTGAGGGTCAAAGACAGGAGAGGAGGCTCTCGCCCCAGGCAGATCATGGGGGGGGAGGGGCAGCCGGGCTTAGAGACCGGAACTCCGGGCAGACGGGAGCGGGAGGCAGGGTGGACTTCGCAGGGGGTGAAAGCAGTAGCCAAAACGGGGTGCAGAGGACACCACCCCACGGGGAGTTGGGGGCAAAGACCTTGGTGCTGGGGGCCTCCCACAGAGCACACCCGGCCTCTGCAAGGGAGGCAAGGACTAGGTCCTTGGGGTGGCCGCCCAGTCCCGAAAGCCTGGACGCGAGCTTGGGGGCGCGGGGGTTCTTGGAGGGCTGCTTTGCCTTTCCTGTCCGTCCCCCTCGCCAGTGCCCAGCTGACCCGACGACGGGCCAGCCACAGCCGCGGTCCTCACCTTCCTTCGACTCGTACGTCCGGTTATAGGTTCTGACAAACTTCTTGAAGATCGAAGCCATCTTCACGGAGAAGTCCTGGGCGGGCAGACAGACAGAGGGTCTTTAAGAGGAGTTCAGCCCACCCTGGGGGCCCCGCTGCAGGGCGCAGGGAAGAAAGGGAACAAGGCAGCAGGGCCCCACCCCTCACCTGCGGCAGGGAGTCCCTGTTCAGCGCCGGCAGCGTGGATTTCAAAGTCTCATTTCTGTCTTCTGGAAGAGGTTGGAACAGAGAGAAACCAAGGCTGAGTGGGAATGCAGCCTGATGGGGGGAGGGGGAGGGGCTCTCCCGGCACCTGTCCTCCTGGTGTCCACTGGGCCACAGTCCCGCCTCAACAGCATGTGCTTGCCCAGCTCGTCCAGGACCTCGAAGCTGCAGAGCTGAAGGGAGAAGCAGCCGAGATGGGAGCCAGAGGCCCCACCGGTAAGGACGGCTGCCCAGACAGGCACCCCCACCGTGCACCGAGAGGCAAAGCCACGGCCCAGCCCGGCCTCCCTGTCACAACATCGCCAGCCCTCAGGGCCTGGGAGGTGACTCAGGGTGGAGAGGTGGCTGCCACCACAGATCCTGCCGCACCCCACCCCCCTTTTAAAGATGTATTTATTTATTTTTAAGGCAGAATTAGAGACAGAGAGAGAGAGAGAGAGAGAGAGAACGCGAGCCCAACAGCCAGGGCTGGCCCAGGCCAAAAGCAGGAGCCAGGAGCTTCCTCCCAGTGTCCCTGGTGGATGGCAGGGGCCCAAGCACCTGGGAGCCGGACCCCAGCCTCTCGGCCTGACCCATCACCCCAACCCCTGCGGACTCAACCCGCAGAAGCCCCAGCGCTCACCAGGGTTTTTCTGGACACGGGGAGCTGGCACACCGTAGGTTCGTTGCAGCGCGGCTCCTCCAGGGTGGCCTCCAGGGAGTACAGCGTCCCCTGGCCCGCCTGGATGGAGGGGCGGGGGGAAGGGCGGGCACGGTCACTCGGTCACTCGCTTGTCTGGGCCCACGCCCCCCGCTCCCGGCGCCGCCCCGTCCCCGGCCAGTCTGCTCTCCTCACCCGGCGGACGCGCCCGCGAACGGCCCCCAGCACCGCCCGCGCGCCCGGAGCCCGGCCGCGGTTGTACATCTTCAGGGCGAAGCGGGCGGGCCCCAGCAGCTCCGGGGCCGGCGGCCCCCAGGCCTGAGCGTCGGCGGCGCGGAGCTGGGCGGCGGCGGGGACCGCGCTCGCCAGCAGCCACAGCGGCCACAGCAGCTGCAGCCAGGGCGCCATGGCGCGGACGAAGCCGGCGGCCCCGGGCGCACCGAGCGGCAGACGTGCGGACCAACTGACCCGGCGGCTGCACCCGCGGCCGGGGGGGCTGCGTCGCTGTCTCCGGCTCCGGGGCGCCGGGGTGCCGGCCAATGGGCGCCGGTCCGGGGCGCCTGCGCGCTCGCTTATTTACGCGAGGCACGTGGGGGCGCGCAGGGGCGTGGGCAGCGGAGGGCCGGTGGCCTGGGAGCTGGACCAGCAACTGCCGGCTTGTAGTGCGTCGGGCACTGTGTGCCAGCTCCCTGAGGCATCCGGGGGAGGCAGGTGCTGTCCCATTTCACAGCTGAGAAAACAGAGGCTTGGAGAGGCTGTGGCTTGCCGGACATGGAAGGGATGGAGCGAACTCGGACCCAAGCAGGTGGCTCCAGAGCTTGGCTGGATCCGCCCCTGGAGACCTCTCTTGTCCTCCCCAGGGGGCTGGTGACAGCCTGAGGCCGCGGCGCCAACCCTCTGGCACTGCTCTTTTAATGCTCCCCGGCTGTGTCCTACTGGGGGGAGTGGCAAAGGATAAAAGAAACAGCAGAGAGGGAGAGAAAAAATCTCCAAGTCTAATTTATTAAGGAATGAACAAAAGGACCATCACGGGCACGCTACGGCCAACCACAGGTGCACCGGGGAGGAATGGGGAAGGGAAGCTTTTCCCACGAAACGGGAGCGGAAGCCCATTGGTCCTGGGGGCTGCAGGCGGGCGTCGGCGCAGCTCATTGGTGGAGGGGCTGTCGCTGAGCCGGCATCTGCTCTGAATGCAGTTTTAGGGAATATTGAGGACAGACTTTGCTACAGCGATCCATGCGTCCGTGTGAGGCGTGGGACGCGTGGGGCGGGGGCAGGACTCCCCGGGGAGCCCTTGAGCCGGCTCTCACCTTGGGCGGAATAGGAGCCTTCCCCGCCGCGAGTGTGGGCTGGGTCAGACCAGAGTGACTCCGTCTGGGTGGGAACCGTCCTGGTCGGGGGCAGGCGCAGGTGCATCCGGCCGGCCGGGGCTGGATGCTGGCCGCTCGCGGTCTGAGAAAAGGACATTTCCCTGCAGGATGCTCTCAGCGAGGAGAGAGGAAGCAGGGACCGGGGAGTTCAAGGGAATTGGAGACCCAGACTCCCCGGTGGGGCTGGGGGAACAGAGAATGATCGTCCCGCGCCAGGGCCGGCGTTGCCGCCTGGTGGATATAAGCCGCCACCTGCCACACCAGAGTCCCATATGGGCACCGCTGTGCATCCCGGCTGCTCCCCCTCCGAGTCAGCTCCCTGCTAACGTGCCTGGGAGAGCAGTAGAAGGTGGCCCAAGTGCTTGGGCCCCTGCACCCACGTGGGAGACCAGGAGGAAGGTCCAGGGTCCCAGGTTTGGCCTGGCCCAGCCCTGGCCACTGCGGCTGTCTGGGGTGTGAACCAGTGGATGGAAGACCTCGCTCTCTCTCTCCCTCTCTCTCTCTCTGTAACTCTGCCTTTCAAAAAAAAAAAAATCATCTAGTCCAGATCTGACCTTCCCAGTAGCAGAGGTCTGGAGAGGAGAGCAGTGCAGGAGCCTGGGTGGTGCTCCCGGCCGAGGGTCAAGCCTGGGTGGTGCTCCCGGCTGAGGGTCAGGCCTGTGCAGGGAGGTGTCGCTCCCCCTCTTCGTGGAGGAACGACACAGGACCCTGCGCTGTTCTTTCGTCTGCTCGGCCCTCCCCGGGTTTGCTGCTGGTTCTTCCCGGGTTGGCTACTATCCCTTCCACCTCCGTGGAAGGGCAGTTCCCCCTGGCCGCATTCCCCACTTCCGCAGGGGAGCGGCACACCGCCGGCCGGGTCTCTCGGGGGCTGCACGGGTGTTCCTTCAGCTAGATGTTCCCCATAGATGTTCCTGGTGCATGCCGTCTCTCTCCTCCTTTATAGTCCTCCTCCGCCAATCCTAACTCGGCTGCCCACACGCCGAGTACGCTGCTCTCCTCCAATCAGGAGCAAGTCCTACAGTTTATTAGTTGAACTGGAGGCAGCTGTGCGGAAGCTGTTTACTTCTCTCCCAGCGCCATATTGTGGGAGAGCAGATGCATAGAATAAGTCCTAATTCCAGTAACTCAGTCCAGTCCGGGCTGCTCCCCACAGGGAGGGGTCCCGTAGATGCCGTTCTCACCCTGCTGTGCCCAGCCCTGGTTTGAGCTCTTTGGAGCTGCCTTTGTCTGCCCGACAGGAGCCAGTCCCAGGCCAGCAGGCCCTCTCTCCGTCCTGTGCACTGCACACCCAGCCTCGGTCCCCGCATCTGCTCAGACGCCCGGCGCTCGCACACCTTGGGACCCTCCCCCTGGCCGTCCCCTCAGCCTGCCTAACTCCCAGGGGCCTTTCCCAGGTGATATCCTGACACATGGCTGCTGGATCCGTTTACGGGCTGCAAAATGATATGACTGGGATGATTAAATCCAGCTAACCCACCTAGCACCTCGAATACTTGACTTCCGAGTGCTAAGAGCCGGTGAGGTCTGTCCTCTCAGCGCCATTGGCGTGCACGGCGCTGAGTTTCCTAGCTGTCCTCACGTCCTGCGGCACGTCTCAAAGGGAAAATCAAATGTGTTTCTCCTGTCTGAATCTTTGCTCCCTTTGAACCTCCCGTTCCGCCTCCTCTCCCCTACATCCTCTCCCCTCCCAGTAGCCGCCATTCGGCCGTCTGCTTCTATTCAATTGTTTTAGGTCCCTCAGCTAAGGGAGGCACGGCCAGCACCTGACCTCCCTCCCTTTCACATCATCTCCAGCCCTCAGGGCCCAGGGGGGTGACTCGGGGTGGGTTGACTGCTGCCACCCTGATCCTGCCCCGCACCTCTTTAAAGATTTATTTATTTATTTGAAACTCAAAGTTACAGAGAGAGAGGGGGAGAGAGAGAGAGGTCTTCCATCCGCCGGTTCACTCCCCAGATGGCTGCAACAGCTGGGGCTGGACCAGGCCGAAGAGAGCAGCCAGGAGCTTCTTCCGGGTCTCGCACATGGGTGCAGGGGCCCAGGCTCCTTAGGGATTAAATCCAACCTTCTGAATCGGTCGGCTTGGCATCACTAGAACTCAGTGCCTGAGGCAGCCGACAAGGAAAAAGGTTTCTTTGCTCATATCCCGGAGGTTCGCAGTCAGGTCGGGCAGGGCCCCTCGGCTTGGCCTCTGGTGAGGGCATTCTTGCCTGCCGTTTCTAGGAGGCAGGGGGCATCACATGGCCAGAGACAGGGAGGGCGTGTGTCTGTCTGTGTCTGTCTGGTCAGGATTTAATCACGGGGCTCCGCCCTAACGACGCCGTCCAATCCACTCCCATCCCAGGGGCTCCTCCTCCAAACCCCACAACTGGATGGAGTTTCTACCTTCGTGGTATCTTTCACGTAAGATGTTAGGGATGGAACCCCTGAGTCTGGGGGTGGGGGGGGACAAGCACTTTTGCCACGAGGGTTCAGGTCTGTCCTGGTTACAGAGAGGCGGTGCTGCCCGTGCGTGGAAACTGGTGGCCTGATGCCCAAGTCGGCCAGGCGGCACCGGCCTTCCTGGCATCAGGGCAAACAGCAGGGTTTGTGCTTCGGGAATGTTCACCTGATGTATGGAGGTCTCTGCTCACAAGTGTGTGGTCCGATCCGTTCCAGGAGCCTCTGCACACACCTCCTGCCCTTCGAGAACGGCAGGCAGCTCTCCAAAATCCTACTCAGGGGCCGGCGCTGTGGTGTAGCGGGTAAAGCCACCACTTGTAGTGCTGGCATCCTACATGGGCGCCAGTTTGAGTCCCAGCTGCTCCACTTCCGATCCAGCTCTCTGTTATGGCCTGGGAATGCAGTAGAAGATGGCCCAAGTCCGTGGGCCCCTGCACCCACGTGGGAGACCCAGAGGAAGAAGCTCCTGGCTCCTGGCTTCGGATCGGCTCAGCTCCGGTCGTTGTGGTCCTTTAAAGGATTGAAACCAGTGGATGGGAAACCTTTCTCTGTGTCTCTCCCTCTCTCTGTAACTCTGTCTTTCAAATAAATAAAATAAATCTTAAAAAAAAAAAAAAAAAAAAGGCCGGTGCCACGGCTCACTAGGCTAATCCTCTGCCTGCGGCACCGGCACCCCAGGTTCTAGCGCCGGATTCTGTCCTGGTTGCTCCTCTTCCAGTCTAGCTCTCTGCTGTGGCCCAGGAGTGCAGTGGAGGATGGCCCAAGTGGTTGGGCCCTGCACCCCACGGGAGACCAGGAGGAGGTACCTGGCTCCTGACTTCAGATCGGTTCTGCACGGCGGCTGTAGCAGCCATTTGGGCGGTGAACCAATGGAAGGAAGACCTTTCTCTCTGTCTCTCTCTCACTGTCTAACTCTGCCTGTCAAAAAAAAAAAAAAAAAAAAAAAAGGAAGGTGTGGAAGCCCAGGTCTCTGTGGAAGTGCCCAGAAAGAACAAGCAAAGGTTAGGTGGTCGACAGTTAACCACGCGGCAGCTGCTACGGGAGATCTGCCGTCCCTGGGAATTTGGACTGGGATGTGTGCCGGTGCCTTCTTTGGTTACCACATTGATGAGGGCTCTCTGGTCTATTTAGTGGATGGGGCCTGGGGCGCGGCCAGTCCTTCAGTTCTTGCGACAGCCCCATTGAACAGAGAGCTGTTTCCTGTCTACGTGACTTTCTAATGCCCTACTGGTCCTTTGCGGAAGTGGAAACCCTGGTCACAACAATCTAAGCCAATAACTTGAACTCTGTTGTTTGTGTAAACACATAATATTACGTGCACTGTTCCAGAAATGCTACTACTGGAAAACTCAAGGGAAGAATTTTCCTTGTAAAAGCTTGGCTCTAGGAAGGGTTATTTACCGTTTCAGATGAGGTCCCTGAAGGCAGTATGCCTGCATCAGGCTGAATTCAGAAGGTTCTGGGGGTGGGCAGGGATTTAGACGCTGCTCGGGGGGCTGGTGTAGTTGGCACAGTGGGTTAAGCTGCTGCCTGCGATGCTGGCGTCCCATGTGAGCACTAATTTGGGTCCCAGCTGCTCCACTTCCAATCCAGTTGCCTGCTAATGTTGCCTGGGAAAGCAGCTGAAGATGACTCAGGTGCTTGGGCCCCTGCCACCCACATGGGAGACCCGGATGGAATTCTGGGCTCCTGCCTTGGACCTGGC